ACGTTTTATTCCCAATAGCATTCAACAATTTTGGTTTGGCTGACTCTACTGGTTATCGACATGAGGTTTCTTCGCCTGAATTGGGATTTCACTCGAATTTTAATGGTAGCCTCTTCAAAACACAGGATTTGGACCTGTGCTGGCTTCACTCAATCGAAGTGAAGATCAAAAAATCATAAAATCTACTAATAGGCATAAAATACTCTGCTAAAAATTTTCCAGTGAAAGCTTTTCTTTTTAACATATACAAGATATTGCTAAATGTCAGTTTAAATATAATATTGCTTGTATAAATTAATCGAAGGTCCACAGAAATAATTTTTTCATCGTTTAATTTTCGTATTAAATATAAGTTCAAACTGCAACACTTAGATTCCTTGAAAATTAATTTTATTTAATTTTATTTGTACGTACCAATTTAGCAAATATTGTAATTTTAGCTTAGGGCTTAATGTAACTCGAAGCTTAATCGATTGAAATTTCCTAGCCTATCTGCAATACTAAATTGTTAAATTGTTAACCAGCAATTTTTTTACCACTATTAATTATTGAACTAAATTATCTAAGGATATTGTGGTAGCTCCATCTGCTCTTTGATTTTAGAACTGAATGAGATCTTATCTACGATTATTCAAATATGTTGAGCATATTTCAATTCCCTTTTGAAGTGTAAAGTTACTTTAAACAATTTTATTCAAAATGATATCCAATAAATATTTTTGTGTATTTCATTAAAAAAGCTTCAGGATTTCAGGTATTTCTTCATCTTTTTTTAACTTATTTAACTTATATCTAGTATGAAGTTCAAATCCAAAATTGTCATTCATCAATGCTAACCAAGATATGATATGGTACTTGCTCGAGTTAATGGAATATTACCAATGGATTTAAACAAAAGGCCAGAGAATTTTGAATTGATAAATAAGTTTTCGTTTATCTAAGTCATTTTAATTTTTAATTTTTAACACGTTTTAAACCCACTGAATCATTTTATTTATATTGTTTTTGACAGTGTCGGATATAAATAAATGTTAAAATTAGCTAAAACACTGGTGATAATATTTGTTTAAAAATTAAGCATAGACGCAAGCATAGATAGACTGCATTTTAAAATCAATTTGAGGAAATTGCCTGAGCATAACGAAGGTTTTAAATAAGGCAATGTATGAGAAATATTCTGGCGAAATGTTAATGTTAGCAAAAAAAAATTTTTTTCGCATCTTATTTCTTTATTCAACCTTTCCTGTTACTTAATTTTTATTATTTTCCGCTCTATGCGATTTATCCAAACGCATGCTTGCCTGCCGTTGGTTCTTCTTAAACACTGGAGAATAATAATCAACCACTTCATACTTTCACCCAATTATTTACCATTAGCATTTCGATAAATTAAACAGTTTTGTTTATTATCAAATTTTTGTTGACCAATGGATAAAAAGGGACGAATCCGCGTTGACAAAAGTCACTTTCTTAAAAATATTGTTTATGAGGAAAATCCTTACCTTTTTTAAAAAAAATTAGGTGCAAAATTCTTATTTTTGTGATTCTACTCAGCATTTTACCTTTGCCAAAAAACTGCTTACTTGTTGATAAAATTATTAGCGTTGAGATAGTTTTTCTCGATTTTTATTCATCTAATAAATATTTTTGCAAGCTTTAAATTGGTAAAAAATCCATTCTGAAAAAAAGCGAGGATTTCTTGAAAATTTAGTACCATAGGACATCAAAAATGAATGAAAAATTTATTAATAAAAAATTAATAAATTTATAAAATTAATAAAAAATTAGTTAAAAAATTATCTTACGATAAAGGATTGGATATTCAACAAAGAAAAAAATAAAAGATCCTAGATGAAATCACCTGAAATATCGAAAACAGCTGACGTTATGAGATAAATTTTTATGTATCGGTCGGTCTATAATGTGGATATATAATTTCGCTTCCTTTATGTTAACATATTTATGATCATTTTCTATAGCTTTCGTCTGAATGACCTCCCAAATACATTGTACTTTTGTATTTGTACACCAAAACCTTGGATTATGGCCGAGTTCTCTTTTTTTATGCGGCTCATTTTGGTGACTATCTTGCAAAGAAAGTGGTCCCATTTCTGATAAGTTTTGCTTCACAGCTATGCAAATCGGCTGCCAGCTTATCCCAAACTTGTGCATGTCTTTAATTTTGTTCTTTCATATATATTTAGATTTCACTGTAAAAAAATAGATCCAATTTTAGAAATCATTCTTTTTATGTCCAACAATAAATAATTTATTCAATTTATTTAAAAAGTGAAAAATTTATTCGAACCGTTTATTGCGATGCGATTTAAACTTTGTTATACTAAATTTGATCAAAGAAAATTGTTAAAAACATTATCACCAATGTCATCAACATCGCATTCATGCATCCATCCAGTCTGTTTTTGCCTTTTTTCCAATTTTTTGCATGATCCTCCCTTTACTTTTTTAGTTCTTTTCTTTTCCCTATTAATCCTTAAAAATTTCTAGTTATCTGCCTTATTTACCTACTAGATATCAATATTCAACTAAATCGATCATTCTTCGATCGTTTGTTCAGCTTTAAAATATGAATTTATAGATGGTTCGATTCACAATATATATGCGAATTTTAAATTTTTACGATCGCTGATATGTTTCTTTCGAATTCAAATTTTTAAATTTTAAGAAGTAAATTTAATAGCGATTATATTTGTATAAAAGAAAGAGGAAAAATATTTAAATATGGAACTAACTATTAGGGAAATAACATTATATAACAGATTTGAAGGTAATTATATTATATAATATAGATTATTGTGAAAAGTTTTTTAAAAATTTAAACACAACTCTCCATTTTTTTTCGTTAGGAATTTTTCATCTTTTTTCAGTGAAATATTGCGATTTGAAAAATTTTAGAATAAATGAAGTTTGAAAATTTGACGGGTATGAAATTTATTTTAAAATTTTAAAATTTTGATTATAATAATTTGTTCGCAGATTGCCTTTTTCGTAAAATTGAACGATTCAGGTAAATAATCGCAGTAGATTAAAAAATTGTATCCATCCTGTAACCATCCTGTAAGTTTTTTAAAAAAATAACGAAACGCCGAACGAATTCCTCGACCTCTCCAACAGTCAGCGGAAAAAGTTAAATAAAATACTGAAATAAGCATCATATTGAGATATTTTTCCATATTTATTTCCTATATATCTTTTATATTTTCTATCGAATTATTCGATCAAAACATATCTTCGAGCATTTAAAACTAATTTTAGTACGATTGCTTTTTATTGATGTTATAGGCTATGGAAATAAAATATTATGTATAATCAAAGCATTTTTTTTAAAACTAGAAATTTGTATTTAAAGAATATTTTGATTTTTCAGTATAATTCTTTATTACATTTTTTCTTGCAACGTTGATTGATTGAATGAGATCCATACGCCAAATTGATTTGGGAATACAGGTGGATAATTATATTTGCCAAAATTAGGAAGGCATCTAAATCAGCAAATTTTATTGGTAAGGAAAAATTGTTCCAAAATTAAATCAAAAATTCAACTATAATACTAATTTTCACATTTTTAGTTGGCTAGAAAAGTGTGTGCTTTATGTAAAAGCTTTTTTCGGAATTTGTACTTCAAATTCAATTTCACTTACGGATTTTGAAAGAATTCATTTCCATCAATTATCACATTCAGCTGAAAGGCAAGGCTGTTTTCCTTTGACAAGAGTAGATGCGACGAAATTCGAGTGAAGTTGGCCAGCCAGCTATGTTCCTGACCAAATAAGTGGTCAAAATTTCTAATCGTTAGCGGCCAATTGAGCAAGCCGAGCCAGGGCTTAGCCACATAATTTTATATGCACAAACTGTGAGATAAATAGAGGACAAAATAGGAAAAGGACTAATATTTTGTTTAATATTTAAATATTTCAAAAATATTCGAATCTTTTCGGCCTAAAAGTATTGGTTTTTCGTGATGATTCGTCGTTATCTGCCTGATCAATCTCTTGTAAAATAAAAAATTAAGAGTGAAACCGGATGACATTGTGATTGACTAACTTTATAATTACGTTAGAATTCTTCATAATGAAATAAATATACAGTGCAAATTTATTTGATAGTGAAAAAGATGTAACGCAAAATATATTTAAATTTTATTTAATTCAACTTGTTATTTGTTTATTCATGTATTGGACGTAAACTAGTGGCAAAATACCGAGGCTCAGGTTATCGCCTCGAATATCGAGGCTCGGACTTTTGCCTCTGATTAAATCTTTGAAAGACCTTATGGGCTCACCTATTCATTAAATGATTCTCTGGCAAAAATTTCTCATCGAGCTGCCAGCGGCGCGAGTCCAACCAGAAATGGTGAGCAATAAGCATTTAGTTGAGTAATATTTTGGTTACTTATTTTTTATTTTTTTTATTTCTTATTTTCTATTCGTTTATTGTCAGATTTTCAAATTCTTACAACACGCATGAATGATTCATTATTTGTTATTTTTGAGGTTAAAATTGAAAAATTATAATTATGAAAAAATTAGAATTGTATGTTGCAAAACTGATACAAAACTTACTGATGTTACTGATTTATATGATTTGGCTAATCAAAATACATGCATTAATCACTTTAAAATTTTGTAGTTTTTTCTTTTTTTTAATCACACTCATTAGGATGGCAGTGTCATATTTCGAATGAAATCCAGCATCATCAGAAGGAAATTTATCACTAGGAAGGGAATTCAGGTGATGTTGGGAATCCACATGAGAATTCATATAGCGGCTGCTAGAAGCAAAAAATAATTCTTTTTGAATGGCTCCACTTGTTATTAAGAAGATATGCCTTCGCTAGAAAAAGTTTTTAAAAGTACTTGCTGATAGAAATGGGGACAAAAGAGTCCACTCGCTCCTTGATTAGTGTCAGTCTTTTAACGTTTCTTATTATAACTTGCGAACTGGATAATTTTTTTAAGGAAATATTGCAGGTAATAACTATGAGATTATTGATTTGTGTATTGTTGTTAAGTAAATTATCATTGACGCAGCTTAATTCTGATAAATCTGAGCAATTCTGGATTGAAGCTGAATTATTGAAAGTGAACTGGATGCGTACTTGTTTAACGACTGGTGGTTGTGCTGAACCGCGATTTCGAATAGTGAAATCAAGTATTACCACAAAAGAGCAACTAACAATCAGTTGGCCAGTGACGCAAAATCTTGTCCAGGTTATTAATTTAAATCTTCGAATACGGGAAATCCCATCTTTAGTAGCATTTTTTACCAAATGGATTTTTCTCCCTTATTTTTTAAATGTTTTGAATTTTTAAATATTTGAAAACGAGCTTGGAAACGTGTAATGAAATGCAGATGGAAAACTCGAGTTCAGTTAATACAATTACTACGCTTAAAACTTTGCTTCAGTTAAAAGATTAAGATGCTTGACTAAGACAAACAGAAAGTTATCGCATTTCAGGATCATCCTTGCAAATTTGTCAGCCACTGGAGCCGAGGCTCACCTGATGATCTGACTATAAGAACTGAAGTAGCTGGAATCGATCCAACATATAATTTTCCTCGGATTTGTGATTCATCGCAAAAAATCCGTATTTTTCCAGTATCATTTGGAGATTCAATCGTAAGTTCTTCTTGTTTGTTGACATTACTAGCACTTACTATATAAACTTAAAATTGAATTTTTTTCTAATTTATTTAATTTCTTGGGAAATCTTCATTTTACTTATTTATATTTATTTTTTTCATTCTTTTTCTTCTAAATGTTCATGATTATTGATTACGGATTCTTCTAATATTTGGTGGGGTGGCTTCAGTAAGCTAATACAAGTGTGATATTTCAAAGCTTCGATGCCTTATCTACAAATAATGAATAGCAATCCTTTTTCCCCGTTTTAAGACCGTCAAGACCGTTTATGGAGAAAATTATAAAGTATTACTAATTACTAATCGAATCTATAGAGAAATGGAGAATTGAGTAGATACGAGTCCATATTAACTGATTCTGCATCAACAAAAACTGTGATTGAGATTAAAGCGAAATGTTTCAACTCGACTATCGCTGTACAAAAGCATATCACTCGATGTCCGTGGTGTACTGAAAGCACCAATTTCGCAATTGTTGAGCAACAGGTGACATTCTACTTCTTTCCTCTCTTAAAGGTTCGTAAACTTGGCTTATTAGTTGCCTTTTTATAGTATGGTATAGATTCGGATGCTGATTTCGCACAACAATATGCAATTCGTGATCAATTATTCAGTGTAAGCTTAATAGCTTTAGCTAGTATCGCAGTTGCAAGTTCAGTAGCCTTTATTTGCATTTTTATTGCATTCTTTCGCCAAAGGCGCTCACATAATCTTCTGAAAAAAAGTCGTCGACTCGATATTTATAATGAAAATTGTCGAAAATCGCAAGCTGATAGTTATCGAACAGATGATGGAACGAGGTATTAATTCATTTATTTTAAATTTAACAATTTTTTAACAATTGATTTTTAAATGATTAGATCATAGTCTAACGATTTTCAACTCTCAGCCAATATTTATTTTCATTGGCCATTAAGATAAATTCGCCAATGGGCCATTTAATGATGGAAGCTTGGTCTTCAGTCTTAATAATACGTCCACTCGCATCACCTAAGCGATGAGGATTGAGTCCATCTTGGTAGATCATAGACGATTATTCTTTGATTATTCTTAAGTTTTATAATGATATTTCATTTTTCACTGCTTCCTGAATTTCTATCTAAAGTTGCGAATGGAATGAGAAAAAAATATCGATATTGTTGAAGATTTTTTATGAAATTTCCTAGAAACATTGATTGTTATCTTTGATTTTATCGGATTTTTGAACCATTTTTAAGTTTAGCGTTTAGAGCACATAGAAATTGCGAAAGAGAAACGATTATTTTTATTACATTTAATTAGAAAAATGAAATTTGGATTCATTTTTTTCGTCAATTTTATCAGAAGAGAAAGGTAAGAAAGTGGTTAGCGATTTGTCTCTTTCGGGTCAAGCTAGCTTCACTGACTATTAGTACGATAAGGAATTTGTACATTTTCAGAATAAAATGTGAAAATGTGAGGTTTTAGTTTTATGAATCACTTGACGATAGAAGTGCCAAACTATTTTTTATTTATTCTTGTTGGATCCGAAATTTGATGCCTCGAAACGATCTTTTTCTTCATAGTATTTGCAATTTCCACATCCATTTGCAATTTGGAAATTTTCCCTGATTTCTGAACGAATTTTCTTTCTGCATTTTGCAAAATATTTACTTATTCTGTCGATTAGTTAGAGATACAGTAATTTATCTATTTTTATATTAATGTCTTTTTCAGGTATGAAATGCCTTGGGATAAGAAATACAAACCAATCCCGTTTCTTATTGCCAACAGTTGTGATCTGCAGCGCTCTCCACCCATAGATTCCTCATCTACGGCAGCCATCGGACCCTTTTCGAGATCTCCGAGAACAACCATCATTAGTAACTCACATATTTCGCCAAATGTGTCATTTACGGAACAGCATGATGATAGCGGTTTAGAATCCGTGTAAATATATTTATTGTATTTTTAGATTCAATTCGCTATTGCCAACAATACCTTATAGCCGAACAGCAAAAAATATCTAAAAATTTATTTTACCTATTTTCATGTTTCGGCTAATTTCGGTTCGGTTGATTCTGATGATTTGCCCAAAGATTTGTTTAGTTTTTTTGAAATATTTTTATACTTCAAATTGTATATATCATATCGATTTAAAATTTTTCTAAGCAATAAACAATAAATTAAGCAAAATTGCTTAAAATGACCTGCAAAATTAGGTAAACTAGCATGAGTAATGTTTCCTTTTTTAATATGATTTTTAATATGTGTTCAACGCTGTTGCAATCACCAAGTGTTTGATTCCTATTCCATGATGGGAATAAGCCTATCATTAAAACTGAAATCTAGTTGATGTTAATATGGTGTCCAAATCCTCATAACTTAAGCGAAAAGCAAAAAACATAAACTTGAACTTCGTATATTCTTGTCTTTTATCCTCATATAATTCCAATTTATTTATATATATATTCTCAGTTTTTTTCTTGATTTTACAGCTAAATTTATATTTTACATTTATAATTATTAATATTATATTTGTAATTGTATTATATTATATTTAATATTATATTTATTATTAACACCAATTTTGAACATTTGACCGAATTTTATACATATTATCATATATTTAATTAAGGATTTCTTTAATATAAATATTGATCGATTGAATTTTTCAAAAAATTCAAGGAAATTATTAAAATCATATCGATGAAACTTAAATTTGGCAATTTTAGGGTCTCAAATAGAGATCGATTTAAAAAGTCCACGAACGCTTAGAATGAATGCTTCACATAATTAAAGTGCCTTTGATGCACAACCCATAGAACTTTTCATAGAACTTCCCATTTTCTATTGAAATCAAAAATTTCTAATCTACCGCTGCAAAAACGAATAAATAAATATAATTTAATTTATGATGAATTCTAATCGCAATTGAGCCGAAATTCTATGTTATTTTCTTAGTTTTCATGCACAGTCCATTCCCATTTTTCCACAAACTGATTTCATGATTTCATATTCAAATTCAAATTTTAGAAATTTCATGGATTTTTGCACCCGAATTAAGCTATCCGATTAAATTTTTAATTTTTCTGGAGCATGATTAATCATTTCGATTTCGAAGATGTCGTTTATGCGTATTTTAAGATGTCAAAATACTATAAATTGTTTCGACACTCATTTTTCCGCAATTGAATCATTGTTTTATGGTTTCACATTTCTGTATTTATATTAATATGAAATTATTCCATTGTTTTATTTATTTTTTTGGATAAACATTCTTTCTTTTCCAACTTTTCTATTGATTTTGGAAGAATTTCTCCAATTTCTTTCGAATAGATTTGTGAGCGGTGAAATTGTTTACAATCTAAATTAATATTAAATAGATCTCAAAGATATAAATCTATATGAAATCTTGTTAATGCCTCCCTTGAGAAAACCAATTTTCTAATAGTTGAAAGGCCGACCGATTATGGGAATCTACTGCGAATCTGTTATTTCAGCTATTCAACTAAATAATCATAAACAAATTATTTATTTAATTGTAATTATATTTTGAATTTGTTATTAATATATTTAATCGATTATTCAATTATTTTTATAAAAATCCAAGATTTTCAATAAAAAAATTTGGGTTTCATTTCAACCACTTATCACTTATCTTCAGAATTACTAATTTCTTTTTTCTTCATTATCCATCTAATTTAATTGTATGCCGAATCTTATTATTTTAAAAATTAACAAGCATAAGAGATTAGTTTAATTTCTGCGTTCATTAAGATAAACTCATAGAATCATCATTTATTCATTAGATTTTGCTTATTTGCGGTAATTAGCCAACATCATAAGATTCATTATAAGATAAGGTTTAATGAAGAAAAAGATCATGAAAGAAAAAAAAATGAATTAGGAATTCGCGAAGCTTGAACTCGGGTAAGTGGTGATCCATCTTCACAAAATCGACATTGAACATTGCAACTAATCATCTGGATGATTCGCTTTGAGTTTAGTCAACGATATTCTGACCGAAATTCTTCGAAATTCCTCTTTCATATATCTGTTTAATCGAATTTTATTTCAATCCAGATATTTCTAATTTATTTTAATCTTCAACCACAAACCATTAATTAAGGCCAATTGTGTGGAAGTTTGCACAATATGTGAATTATAAAGGATATAAAGGATTCAGATTCCAAAAATAAGTAAATAAAAGTTAATATTCTCATGTGAACTCCGCGAGAAGAATTATTTATGAATCAAGAAAACTTTTTAACAATTTTTTTAAACTAAATTTTAATGAAAACTATAAAAAATTCTGTTTGGTATATAAAATTCTACTTTAATTAATTAATAAATTGATTCTACCTAAATTGATTCTAAATTCTACTTTAATTAATTAATAAACTACTTTAATAAATTGATTAAATATAAGAGAATATGTGAGGAGTTCTTAAAAGCCGAAATTTCGAAGAGAGATTAAAAAATTTGGCTTTTTGATGCCGTAATTATAAATACTGCCGTAATTATGATTATAAAGCATGTATGTATGATTCAGATAAAATATAAATTTTCTTAAATATTTATATTTATTAAAATTTTTGTTTGAACTTTGACCTGATTTATCTTTTTCAGAAGAATCTATGAGAAAAAATTGACTCGAATATTGTCAAGCGTTGGCTAATAATGAGAAAATGAATGATCGCTTTGAAGTTTCCTTTGAATCGGATTGATAATGAATGCATGAAGGTATTAACAGTAATGCAAAGAAAGAATTAAGCATTGTTCAAATGAACATTTCTTGGAAAGCCCAATAAGATAATGGTTGATTATCAAATGATGATAATAAGCTCTCTAATAAAGGGGTTGTCGCCGAAAAATAAATGGGTGAATGAGCTATTTCATTCTTTTCTCAGGTAAACATAAATCAGAAATTTGCAAAGTTTCCTTTGGTCATTTAAAAATAGGCTTCAAAGATAAAATTCACACGTGCATGGAGGTCGACTTGTTAGGGTCAAAATTACGAAGGCAGTTAAAAACTAAGATGTAACAAAATGATTATGTGTATACGATACTTAAAATAATTCACTGATGAATGCCTTTATATTGCTTGTAGCCGCCGGATTTTTAATATCTTCGAACTGTATTTCTCAGCCTTTTTGGCTCACTACAAAATTGGAAAATATTCAGTGGAAACATGGATGTGTTGCTTTAATTAGTTGCAATAAGCCGATCTTTGTAATCTCACAATATAATATTATTAATCATCAACGAATTTCTAAGATTTGGGAAATCAGCAAAGGATTTGATAAGGTATTTTTAAATTTCGTTGGCTCACTAACGCTGATATCTTAATTAAATAAAACTCTATAGTATTTCTGCAGTTAACAATATAATAATATACTATAATAGTAACATAAAATACATCAATGGGAAACTGGTTGCAATTTAAACTTAATTAGATCCAATTTTTTCACCTTGGCAGGAATAAACTTGCCATTAAAAGCTAGAACCGGATGGTACTTCTATCCTCTCGTGAAATGGTCTCTTGATAGTGGTCAACAAAGCCAGCCTAACCAGAAGTGGTTAGTGTTAGAAGATTATTAGAAAAAGAATTATTTAAAAATAAAAATACTGGATGAGTTTGAAAAATATCCCTGCATATTAGAATTTTTGGAAATTTCACTAAGTTAACCAAGCCAATTAATTTCTAAGCATATTGTTGAAGAAAATTGTTAGTCTTTGATTTCTTTGACTACGTTTCTAACAATTTTCGCCATTGCCGATTCGGTTGGCTCCACTGGTGAGTGAGTAATATCTTTGAAAAAACGTTCCAACCATAGATGCCCTATATGATGCCCTATACTTGAAAGCAACTAAGCCATTAATTCTGTCACTTTCTAAATTATCGAATAACATAAAACCTTTGACCTTTCCAACTCAACTTCAATTTTTCAGTTTCTTATGACAACAATAATTATCTTTCAATAATTTTCAGCAATTTTCTTTTTTTCTATCAAAATTATGCATTAAACTAGAAAAGTGATTTATCCCAACTTTTTAAAATGATTTTTGTGTTAAATTTTAATTTTAAAACCCTGAGTTTCAAGTTAGAGACAAATGCATTGGTTGCTCATTGGTTGGATGATACACCAGAAAATATCGCTGTTGAAACAGGTATAAATGGTGTTGATCCACGTTATGGCTTTCCACGCACGTGTGATGTCTCTAGAGCAAGTACTATTAATAGCATCAATTATATTGACAGCACAGTAGGTTCAATTTTATCTCCTTAATTTTGCCAATTCCTTTTTCTCTGTATTTTTGTTGTATATTTAAAATTAAAATGAAAAATGGAAAATGAAATTTTTTTTAGAAGTTATCGAACATTACTTTTCATCAAAATGGAGAGAAAGTTGCTACTGAAGTGCATGGAAGTTGTTATACAGCTGAAATTTCCTTTGAAATTCATAGCAAAAGATGTCCATGGTGTGAACACCTGGATACAACAATTTTGCCTAATTTAGAAACGGTTATCCTCTTTATGATAAAATTATCTTAAGATTAAATATAAAGATGCTGCATCATATAATGTGATTAGGACCAAGCAGTTTGCTCATAAATTTGGCTATATAATTAATTATTTGAATGTCGAGAAGATAGTTACCATATGATTAAATTGACACGCAACAGTACAGCTTAATGCACAACAATTAGGTTTAGAAAATCGTAAAGTTTTTATTTTGTCCATCATAATACTATAAAGATTTCACCGAGAGATTTTTAAGAAATGCACCTCGCTGTATTAAGTTTTTGCCTGAAATGATCATTAAGAATTAGAATTTTAGAATTTTTAGTCGCTCCCTTAAATTTTTGTTGCAACCGGTGAGGTCTTGTTTTGACAGGTCTCCAATTTTGCCTCGTGGATATGTGAAAATGTTGTTTTATTTATCATATTCGCCGTCATGCTGACCATCATAGCCATCTTCATTGGATATACAATTTGGTATTGCAAGCCACTGTTTTTCAAAGCTAACGAGAGTTCTAGCGAAACTGAAATTACTGATAATGGTGCAGATATTAAAAAAAAAACGTTGAATACCCAAAGGGTAGAATCTTTATGCGACCAAGAAAGCGATGGGTAAGATTGTTATTCACTACTATTTATTTCTTCCAACATGCTTTTGTCTAAAAGCCCTTCAAGATTCAAAATCTCGTGGAACTAGAACAGTGCTTAAAGAATAAATTCATTAATACCCTTCAAAATCTCTCATATGTTCCAGTCAATCTCTAAAGTTCCAGTGAATTACGAGTGAGTTCCCAATTTCATAAATGATTTCGTCGGGAAAAATCTTATAAAACTTAGTAATTTATTTAATTAATTTATTAATTTAGTTATACAAATATTAACATCAGTCCACAGTGTCAGTCGCAGTGGATAAGGAATATTATCAGAATTCAACCACCACCAATAAATCTTCAACAACAACGATGTAATAAAGAAAAAAGGAAATTCCCGATGACTGCAGTAGAAACATGGAAAACTTCCTCATCAGGTTATAGTTCATCCAGACAAGCGGGTCGAATATCACAACATAAAAATTCGGTGGCATTCCTTCACACTCGTATGCATCTATCTCCGAATTCTTCATTGGGTTGTCGAACCGAAGAAAGTGATACTATTTATTTCTCTTAGGCTTATTTTTTATCGGAATGTCTCTAGTGATATATCTTTCGCTTAATTTATGTTCAAATATCCTTACTTTTTTTCCATTTTTCATTGCTTTTCTTTATTCAAATATAGAAAAATTGGCAAACTGGAAAAACAATATAATTTCGAAAAATAGAAGGGAACAAAAAATGCAAATTACCAAAAAAATTACCAAAAAAGATTGAAGAGACAAGTATATACCATTAACTTTTGGGTGAATTTAAAGAAAGTCGAGTCACTTTTACATTTTTCTTTCTGAAGACGATTCGTCCTGAAATATATTTTTATTCCAATAATGTCTTTTTGCAAAAATTTCTTCCTTCTTAAATTGCTTTATAAATAATTTTTCTTTGCTAAGGGAAAAGCTGCAATATTTAAATTTATAAAATTTTTATAAATTTTTTTTTTCATTTATCATTTATATCATTTAATGAAATTTCAAAATTATTTGTTATTTGATATTTTTTAAAACGAACTGCATGTTATGCGATATTGGATTTCACTTTTAATGAATAGATTTGGTGCCAAAGAATCCACAGTGCCTACCTAACTAATGGTCAATATTGTACGGTCAGGTATTATATAACATAAAAATAGATGGCTTTCTTCTCCGTTAGAAACAGGTCAATATTAATGCAAAGATCATGTAAATGTAGATGGTTACGCCCTTGTATAACAGCTATCACCATTACTGGCTCAACTGGTACAGGAGTAAGGCATTCCCAAGCAGCGTGATCTGATTCCATCGTTGACAGTAATAGAAGCCATTCCTTTTTCCATCGTCTAAGTCCATATATTGCTGGTCCACCTATATGTTCAAAACCTTCCCTGGCCTCCGTATCAGTGCAGGTTTTGACTGGCTCACCTCGCTTTTGACACTACTCATCACAAAATTCAGCAAGTAACGAAATATGTGTTCAGCTCTTGTGATGGGTGACGAAAAACATGCTCTAACCAGCGAAAAAAACACCACGGTGGTACTGTTAATGCAAGTGGTATTTGAATGAAGCTGGATGGATCGTAAGATTTATCCAACCCGTAAAATATACCTTATATATCTTAGACATGAGTGGTCAAAGGCAAAAAACTTAATATCCTCCACGCTCATTGACCATGTCTCGCAGCCATATAACAAGATAAAATGGATCGAGGACTTTTGTTTTTATAGTGATTTCACGATGGCTCCATAAAGATCAACGCATCAACGCATTTCTAGATGCCCTAATCCGAGTTGTAACATCGTCTTTTGCCTGGCCATTCGCTATTAGAGTGGATGCAAGATATTTAAAATCGGACACTTCCTCAATCGGCAATAAGTCTATAAAAAAAGTCAAAAGGCTGATTCTTCGATAATCGTCGCATACTGTCCCCTTTCTTAGGAATTGGGAGTAGAATTGTTTTGTTCCAGTCATCTGGGAATATTTCTCCCATACCAGAAAGTACATTTGTTGAAGGTGCGTTATGAAGAACGACGGACAACATCTGAAGAGTTCAGCTAGAAGGCCATTTTCTCTCGGAGCCTTCTTGGCCTTAAACTTATGTATAATGGAGATTATTTTTTCTTCTGTTGGCGGCTCGCAATTGCAAGCGTTCGATGAACATATCAGCTATATCTGGGTTAAAAGATGGTGTATCGTTACGGCTATGTTCTTTTATGTATGATTTGAGGCAATTATACTGCACTGGAACTGAAGGTTTTTTAAATTAACATTATTGTATCACTGCATTTTTATTGCCTATCATGAATCGCATAGACATTCATATTATGATTTCGATACACTCCCTTGATATGGCGATTTAGCGATGGGAATAACGAATTGAGGATAAAAATTAGGAAATAGCGTTTAGTCAGATGCGTTCTTCTTTTTCTCTCTTCTTTTATTCGTCCGATAAACGAATGGCACATAAATGTCAAAACGTGGGGAACAAAATCTTCCGAATCGTTACCAAAGATCAACAGAAAACAATGGAAATGCTCGCATGAAATAATAAAACTGAAATACTGCAAAGATCGAGAACTGCATCGGTACAACAGACTGAGCCTTCCTTTGAAGCCATCGATGGAAGCATCTTGATATTCCATTTTGTCCGAATAAAAACCAAACATTCAGTATACGTTTAGTCGGATTTGCTGTCAGAAGACGCCACAAAACTGGATGAATCAGCCAAAATTCGCCTTCTGCTTTATAAGTTGGACGGTTCAACGTATGAAAAATATGCGAATATTCATTCATTCATTCAACTTAGAAATCCTAGCGATATATCTTTTGATGAAACTGTAGCAATATTGAAATCATTATTTACTTCATAGAAATCACCGAAAAAAGGAATACGAAGACTTTGTCACTTTTAAAACAATAGTCAACAAAAAGTATGAAAAATTTATTCTCAATATGTTGACAATCGAGCGATTCAAATGCTTCATTTGCGAACTCTATTCGCCAGATGACACAGCTATTAAGCTACTGCTGTATAAATTCGCCTATGAACCGAATATTACGATTATTCATCAGCTGAAGAGAAATGCAATCCACACATTTATCCATTGCAGATAAAAAATTATTGAAAGAGGAACAACCGTACAATCAAGAAACCATGGGCAAACGTTTAAATCGCCAACTGTCTTATAATAAAATTCCAGAAAGTAGAAAAGTATACCAAGAACACTATGCTGATTTTGCGGTAAAATGCATTAGTCAAAATTTATCATTATCGAAATGCAAAACAAAAAAGAACAATTTTGCAACTCAAATAATAATAATAGAAAATAATAAAAAGCCAAGAAAATATTCTCGAAACAAATCGAAACCAAGAAGAACAGTGAATCAAGTCGAGATGAAAACTGAAAAATTTAATAATGCTGAACACAGCCAACAATTTAGCGACAGCCAACAATTTGAGAATTTGCGAAATGTACAAGCATCCAAGACGTTTAAACTCGTCTGAAATCATGGAAGGATATCGGATCACCAAAATTAAAGAAACTGTTAATAACTTCGAGAAATGTAAACGGTAATATTACTAAGAGAGTTCTGACGCCTTACATTTCCAAAATAAAGTTAGGCAAGTTAGGAACCAAAAAGATACATTCCCAACAGACGAAAACGCGGTGCGTCGGTAATTCAGTGACAATATTACGTCAATCTATGGGTTCGAATCCAGGTGATACTGGTGACTCACTTGTGCTCTCGCCAAGAGACTCTCTGGCACATTTATCTAGTGCGACAAGCCAGCGGAGCGAATCTAACCAGTAATGGTTAGAGTTCTCAAAAAAAAGATTCTAATCCGGGCTGGCATACCACGCTTTCGTCAAATAGAAGTTCGAGAAACAGCGAAAGCAAAAGGGCTACTATGGGACCATAAAGATGGTAAATGGATTCGAACCAGTATTTGCCTCGTCAATAAATTAATTATCGATCAATCAAGGATCACTGAAGAGGAGGCTGATAAGACGTTTTCAGAAGTTTAGAGCAGTGCATCGTTGTTTATAGTATGCCAAAATAACGAATCAGCAAAAGAAAACGTTATGGAATATATTATGTTATGAAAAAAATAAACTTGATTTCCCAGAAATTAGAAATCTTAGTCTTTATCTTAGTCTTCATTAAAACATTGCCACGAACACGATAGTTAGCCCACATGTCGCGTCATGAAATGATAACACGCAATTAGACTTGAGAAAAAATTCGGAAACTCTTCCAGCCAGTCAGTAACCTACTGGACAAAAAGCAGCACTTCGATAAACGACATATAGTCTTCCCAAATCATATCATATCACACCAGCAAAATTGGGAAGGGAAATAAGAAGTCGATCTAACCATCGAGCAAAGAATCCTCAAATAAGCGAATAGAAAAACAGCACAACCGATATCACAGTGCTCGTTCTTTTGCATTTCTATGCAAAATAATATCAAAACCAGCGAGAAAGATGAGAATTAGCAAAATAGTTCAGAGTCGGAGTACTATATAACTTACTTCTGTACAACTTCACAGCAGAACAACCACACCTTAAACATCCTTTTGGAGACTTCCAACTTTCCGGCAAATGATACGCCTAAACTGGACAGCAGTATGAATCAAGCATCAATCGAGTCGCGCCTGATCCACAACGACCAGCGAGAATTCAAAGACGAAGCGATCCGGACCAACACAATCGCAAAATATCAATTCGTGTGATATCTCTTTTTTCAGAATACCCCTTTTTCCTTACCCATTGCACGATCGGACATCTGTTAATTTGGCATATTTAACATTAACATTACTATTAATATTAAGATATTAACACTGTTAACAAATTTGAAACATGAAATATTTGAAATATTTTTTATTAATAGATTTAGCATGTTTGTTAATATGAACAAAAATTTATAAAAAAACTATTCTGATGATAATTCAATAAATTCTCATCATTAGCACCAACGAATGAGACAACCAATTCCCATTTTCTAGAACTTAGACTTTATTCAAAGGAACCATACAAAGCGTTAGTTTATATTGAACATACGATTCGACGATTAGACGTATTCATAAAATTTTACATCACTATTTGAGGAGGTGTAAACCGAAGAAAAAATGGACCGCAGGGCAGCAAACACATACCGCACGAGAAGAGAAGACAGGAATGGTTGACAACGACTAGGCGGCTGTAAAATCGCCTCGACAAGCCGTGAATCTCGAAGGAGTGCAGCCGCCGGCCGCACTTTAGCCGAAGCACTTCCGATTCTCTGGGATTATTTCGAAAAATTTAAATTGTGGGGGGGCGATCCTTTGTTGCGCCAATATTTTCGTCTTCTCGTGTTTTATTTCGTTTATTTCAAAAAATTTTTAGGAGTTCTAAGTTTGAAAACATTAGAATTTTCAAGTCATTTGGAACCTAAAATTCGTGGTCGATGCCGTTCCATTCTGTTAAAACATAAAAGTTGTGGCCGAACACGAACGAAGAAAACCTAAAAGATTCTGGGGGAGGGGGGTTGTGCCGCAGATTTAAAGGGGTGGAAGGCGACTTGAGTCGCTGTTGCCCGACTCTGTACACAGCTTCTTGCGGGTGCGGAATGGCGCCGGCAAGCAACTTTGTAAAGAGAGGGACTTTCTCGCAGCATGCAAGCCTATCTTCCCATATGCGATTACAAATAATAATGCGAAATGCGAAAAGATTTCGAGTTCCTAAGATAATCGCGTAGTGTCGGCTCAGTCGAAAATCATACAAATTTCACTGGAAATTTCAGAAGAAGCAGTTTTTTCCTTTTGTGATTGATGAGTTCGCATACGAAAGGGAAAAACGAACTGACTGAGATGTTTCTTGAGAAGATGAATATTCTTAATCGCCGTTTCTTGGATGTAATTGAAGATGCTGTGAGACGATTGCCTTGTTGCGATTTGGTTTGCATTTTCTTTTTCAATATTTTTTTGTTTATTTGTTTGTTTATTTATTTATGCTTATAATTTTTTCATATTATTATGCATTTTGATTTAAATTATGCGAATTTTTTAAAATTAGGATTGATCGGCTGATTCTTCTTTGTTTTATCGTTTTCCGAGCCCTTTCAGCTGCTCTGTTAAGATATAAAAAATTAAAGATTATTGATTGTTCGAATTCTTCGTTTGGATATCTCAAGAAAAGACCACAGCATCCCCCAAGATCTTTTAACTACCCCAAGCTAAAGGATTCGGGACAGTAGCGCATTTCAAATCGAATTACACAACACTTCAGTGAAATGGATATAAGTGATCAGAGAAGATGGTCTCTGAAATTGAAGATAAATACTGGTCTCAAGCCATTTCCAAAGGTCAGTGATAGCTGGGAAGTGCGCTAGTTGGGAAACAACCGTCCGAAAAAGCCACTAAAGCATGAATGTCCTGAGATGAATGAGAAGATCCTGATTATGGGATGTTTCAAATAATAAACAACTCGGCGGAACAGGAATCATTATTGGATTGATATGGCCTTCGAAATGAAGATACGAGATAGCAATTGGTATGCCTATTAAAAACTTTTTAAGGTGGAAGGAATTCTTTGAGGCCAAATTTAACTTAATTTAACTTAACCAAATTTAACTTCTTTTAGGCGCCTTCTGTTGTCCCGAATATTATTGATATTCGCTCATCGAGCCATACTTTGGTAATCGCGAATTGCGAATCGCCAACAGAAAAAAAATCTTTATTACACATAAACTTAAGGCCAAAAAAATTATTGGAGAAAATGGTCTTTGGAAATGTTAAAAAGTTATCCATCGCCCTCCATAGCACACCTTTAATAATGTATAACTATTGGAATATCTTTTCAAATATTTGCACCGTCGCCTGTTTCATTGACTTCGCCTTAGATTCAATTTATAGAACGGCGCTTTAGAAGATGATGGAACAGTATTTCAGAGAAGATCATTCGGCTCATAGAGGCATTTTATCAGCATACATTGACAAGAAACTGTTACAACAAATAAAACAAAAATATTTTTTGTGTATACGATAGACTCTTTCGAAGTAAGAAGTGGTGTCCGTCAAATCTGTATCCTTTCTCCTATAATATTCAACTATGCGATAGACTGGATAATGGACACCGCTTGTCGGCACTCAAGGGGTGTACAAATCAGTCCAGAATATAGTATCACAGATCCTGAATACGTTGATGTAGTCCTTTTTGCTGAAAGTTAAGATGCATATAAGGCTAAACAATGTGCCAGCAACTGCAGCGAGAATTATTCTGCAGGGTCACTGCAAATAAAACGAAAATATTTTCGTCGTATATGCAAAAAGCTGATAAGATACCTGTTTTTATCAATTCATTGCTGGCTGAGGAAGTGTCCGACTTTAAATATTATCTTGGATCCACTCTAATCCCAAATATCCAGGCAAGGATTACTACTCGGATAATGGTAATTAAAAGTTCGCGTTCTTCTGTTGGCGAAACTTTTATGAAGTCGTGAAATCATTATAAAGATGGAATCTGTCTTCCTATGGTTTTTACGAATACGTCGAGCCGATAAAATCTCATGATTGCGATTGCATCCATCTTTGTTCAAATATCATCTGCCTTAACATTACCATTACAGAACGTCGCCTTCGCTGGTTAGGGTACGTTCTTCGTCAACCACCACAAGAGATGACATATTTCATTACTTTCTAAACTTTTCGATGAATGACGTCAAAAGGGGGTCCAATGAACACTTGGACTGATATATTCGGGAAAGATTTTGAACGCATTGAGGGACCTGCAATATATGGACTTAAATGGCGGAAAAAGTAATGGCTTCTATTATTATCAACTATGGTATCAGATCACTCAGCTTGGAAACGTTTTACTCTTGTAGCAAGTGGAGCCTGCTTAATCAGTAATGGTGAAAGAATTTAAAGAAAAAGAAAGAAGATTGGATCAGTTATAATTAGTTATTATAATTAGCTATTTTGGACCATTGACATTGGGATGTTTTCTTAAAAAATTATTTAAACTTTTTTGCTTTTAAATATATTTTCTTTTTGCTTTTGTTTTCAATATTTCTTTACATTTATTATTTGCTTATTTATTTGCACTTATTTTTATGATTTATATTTTTAATGACGACATTATGATATTACATTTTGCACTCCTACTTTTCCAGATTTTGTTTTTTTTTGCCTTTTTATGCTCTTTTCCATTTTCATGTTTTTTGTTTTAATTTACTGGCAATATTGTTCTTCAATAAATAATTTTATTTGAATTAGATTTTCAAATTCTAATGGATAATATAATTCGGCATTAATTATAAGATTTTGGTTATTGTCTTATTGGTTTTTATTGTTTCATTGTTAATTTATTTATTAATCATTTTTCAAATCAAATTATTTTAATCATTTTTTTGTGGATTTTTTGAATAGCTTAATGCTTTTTAATATTTATTAAGATTTTATTGTTTCTAAAATTTATTTAACTTACCATTACCGGCTAAACTGGCTCCACTGGCTTGTCACATTAAGCAATATGCGGGGGGTATCCCTTGGCGATAGAAATGCAGATGATTCGCCAGCATCACCCGGATTTTTGGACGGGTTTATTCTTACGGGAATCGGACCTCAGCATAGGCGCTCCCTATGGGGCAACAACCCACAACCATTCTATCCCCATTAAATTTTTAATATATGCCAATGTTTTTAATGTGCTAATATTTACATTTATATTATATTAACATAATATTTATTATTAATATTTATATCTGCACAAATAAATGAAATATGTATTTATATTTATGTTTATTTTTTTATAGTATTTATTTCACATTTCATTTAGATTGAATTTTAGTATTATGTATCAAATATATATATATATATATATATTTGAACTGACTTGAAATCTGATAAGCTAATTTTTTGATTTGCAGTCACCGACTATTAAAGATTATCTGAAATATGTCGAGCAGTTGGACCAAATTTATGGTTCTAAAAATATTGAGATGGATGAAAAAATAGAAAAAAAAAGTGAAAATATTGAAATGATTGAGATGGAAGAAGAAATATTTTCTCACAAGAAAGATGAATTAAAGAAAATTGGAGAATTGAAGAAGACTGAACAGTTGAAAAATCAAGAAATTTCCAAAAAAACCGATGAAGTGGATAAAAAAGGTCGCGAGAAATTCAATTTTTTTCATTTTTTTATTTTTCTTTTAATTTTTAACTTTAATTTTCGTTTTTCTTCTCTTTTAGTAGGTTTTTATTGCATAAAATTCAGAGAAATTCATTTCTTCTATTTCATCGTTTATTTATAGATTCTTTCGAATCTTCAATGAGCAACGATAAAACTTGTTTCATGTTTGAGGTATTTACTTTACTATTTACTTTTGATTTGATTTTTGTATTCTTTGGTCCAATCTTTATTTTTATTTGCATTATGCATTTGTGCATCTTATATTTTTATTTTCAATTAATACAATTTTCAGACGAAAGTCAGATCTCAGCCACTGTCACGAAAAAGGCAGGCACTATATAATGCTTCTCCTGAACAGTTGGTTTTATTATATCGGTTGTTAATAAATGTTCTCTTCGATGCGTATTAGTAGTAGCAAAAAAAGTTCATGCCTTCGGTAATGCGAATTGGCACACCAGTCTCGAATACCATATTTACCAATTACAGAGTTCATACTGACTGATCTACACTCGCATTCTAATTTCTACCAATTATGCGTTACCTTTCGGTAGAGATGTTTTTAACAGTTGGAGTTCCGCATAAAAATTTTGGTCTATTTTTTACGAATATTATTCAAATATGGTCATTTTAAATAAATAAATTGTTTTTTATTTTGTGAATGTTGTGAATCTTTTTCTATTAGAGCGAGCGAAAAAGGGCTCTTGCAACTTGATTTTTAGTGTTGATGTACCGTTTCCTGATTTGCCGACTGAGAAGCCAAAATCTTATGTCCCAGCCCAAAAAAAATTTGGTCTAGATTTCTTCGCTGGTAATTTTATTTTTTAATTGGTGAATATTAAATGTTTAGCGTTCGTTATTCAATAATATATTTTTGCATGACTTGTATTATTAACGGTTATGACCAGTGAAATAGTTAAGCGAAATTTTTCGTGGAAGATGAAGATTCATTTTTCGTGGAATGGAGTTTTTTTTCATTGGCTAAATTCATTAGAGAAATATTATAACAATAATAATTTTATTTAGACTTAAACAAACCCCAGAAATTGGCGTTATTCAGGTCTGATTTGTCAAAAAACATGGATGAAGAGAGCACCAGTCAAGTGACTCAAGGTTGAAAATAATTTTTTTCACTGTTTCTGTTTCTTACTGTCACACTGTTTCTTACTCATGTGGTTTCTGTTTTCAATCAACTATTTTTCTTATTCATTTGTGATATTATAAAATATTTTCAGTTTTGTCCTCTACGTTTGGTAATGGACAGGCCAGTACTTATATTTCAGATAAAGGTTCATCATAATTTTTATTTCTGGTAAATTGTGACTTAATTCTTGAATAATAATCACTTATTACAACAGTATATATGGCATTAACAGTAATTCTTTATTTGGTGTTCATTATTCAAATTCTTTTCACTTAATTATTTCTAAATCTCTGGCTCAAATTTCTTGTCACCACTACATATATTCAGAAATATTATTCAGATATAAATATTCAGAAACAAATTAATTTTTTTATTCTCTTTAGTGTCGCAGATATCAGCTTTACCGCAAATATCAACAGCATCACTGGTTGCAACAGCTCCACCACTTCCAGCATTAACACAAATAGCAACAGCACCACAGATATCGATGCCAGAAATCTGGACAACTTCGCAGATATCAATACCACAGCAGACAACAATGCTGCAGCAAATATCCGCAGGGCAATCGATATTTACTGGATCAACAACTGAAAGACAAGCCATTGGTAAAATTTTTTTTTTGAAATTTTGCTGAATAATGAAAGAATGAAGAGAACCAGTCACTTTTTATGCCATTTATTTCGATGAACTAAGTGCTCAAGTGGTTACTGAAATACTTCGAAATAATTTTAGGTACCATTGTAATCCTTTAATTAGCAGATCTGTCAGAACGTGTTACAACCCTCCTCATATTTTATTTATTTTCTATTTTAGAGGATGCAGAATACCAGCCTCCAAAGCCCGAAGACGTTGCGTTTGAAGAACCTGATGCTGTTTTTTCAACCAAGTATAAAATTAGTTTTAAAATGTTGAAATTCTGGGTAATATGCAATTTTCACTCCGTTTTCTCTTTCTTTTTACCTCTTATCTGTTGTATAGCGACTATCTGAAACTTTGTTAACGATATTGTTTGTTTTTTTGTTTAAACTTATTTAAACTTTAAACTTATAATGATTATGTTTGAGAACTTTTATTATTTTTATTTGATTTGAGTTTTTCTTTTTTTTTTTTCTTCTAATCATTTTTTTTTCTGCCATCTCGTACCATTATTTTCTTAGATTTTTATGCCTCCTCGTTCGATATCTGAAGACTCTACTCTTTTTTTAAATTTTTGCTGGGCCACTTTTTTATTCAAAATCTTTCTTGATCTTAACATTCTAAATCTTGATTTAGGCTACTACCTATTTTAAGGTTTGAGATATACTTCCACGGCGAAGAGGGTTACCAGTGTAGGTGTTGGCATTGTCGGTATCTGTCGGCGATTATGGTGCTTAGTCATTCTGCATATTGAAGTAAAGATGGATGATAAATTTGAGATTCAATCATCACGACAAGTTACTTTAAGTAAGAATAATAATTTCCTCTCTTATATTAATTTTATAGCAACTGTTGTCCGATGGAAGAAATTTCTGTTGCGGTTGCGATTATGGTGCTTAGTCATTCTGCATAAAATTGAATTCATAATATTAGAAAATTGGTGCTTCATCAGATGGTGCATTAAATGCATTAAAATTGATATTTTATTAGCATCTGGTATGAGATACCATTAGAGTCTATTTTATTTACGTGGTTTTGAAGAACTGTTTTAGATGCAGTTTTCATCATCTGTCTAATCTTTTTCAATTTTCTAGAAATCTTAAATATGAACCCCTCAGCTCTCTTATTCTCTTCCTATGCGATGCTCTTACTCATATTAATTTTTCGTACTTTTGAGTCTAAATATAAATATGGTCCAAATATATATTTATGCATGCTTTTTGATGTTTTATTCAGAAAAAATTAATTTTTCCTTTTTTCCTTTTTCTTAATTTTTTCTGTATAATTTTTCCTTTTTCTTTTCCTTTTTTTATCCACTATAATCGAAGCTCATTGCAGATGTTCCTGCTTTATGTTAAAGGATGATGTATATAAAAAATTTGGCGTTGGTTATATGTTTATCAAAAAACGCGTTGACAAACGAATTCTTCTTGTTCGTATGGCAACATCGACGGGTAGGTTATGTCTTTATTATTATTATTTTTCTCCTGATTATTTTGAATGAACTATTTTATAAAATCATCGAGAATTTCGTTATTGCGAAGTATTTTCATTTCTTACAGGCAATATATTGCTCAATGCATTGATTGATTCCAGTATGAAATGTTCAAGATTAGCAGAAAACAAGTTGCGCGTATGTGCTTTTTTTATTTATATATGGTAATCAGCGGCGAATTGATTTGTTTAATTTTTGATCGCTTTTTTTCATTTTTCAGATTACTTGTGTCAGCGACAATGCTTTAGGAACATATTTGTTTCGTTTTGTTGATAACGCGAGCAGTAAATTCGTTGAAGATGAAATCTCACGAACTTGTTGAATTCGGCTATTTTAATTGAAGTGATATTCCAGCCCTTTCCAGTCAGATCGCTCATTTCTCGCTCTTTTATTGAAATTTATTTTTATGTTTCATTCAAGTTGCTCAATATGGCTTAGGCTGTTGCCCAGATTACTCCATTTTTTCATTTTTTCTGAATGGTTGTTAGAGATCCGTATATTTTTTACGTATCTTATTGTGATTATAGTCTGTTATATTTATACAAATAATCTTATCTAGAATTTAATCTAATAATCTAGAATTTATTTTTATTTGAATGTTTCACACTAATTTTCCGAAATTAACTAAATATTATTAAAAAATCAATTTTTATTATTCCAGATTATTTCCTTATAATTACATGCTGTCTGTTGTACGTATTATTCATAATGCTATGGGTAAAAGTTTCATTTAATTTTACACATTCTATTTATTTATACTTTATATTTTATAATTCATAGATAGAATTGTCTTTCTTCAGACAATAAGATTGGTATTTTTTATTTTGCGAGTACTTTTTTCTTGTTATCATTGAATTCATGGATTCTTTCATGTGTGGTTTATGTTTAAGGGGATGATAGTTATAGGATAATAGGATATGTTGATAGTTCAATAAAGCTTGGGTAGGAGATCATTCCGGTAAAAAATTATAATCATTATAATTTTGGTTTTAGATCAGCCATTTCCTGAATGAAATTTTTCCGCTTTGAATAGATACAGCGATCACGAATAGGCCGAACATTCTCATCTTTACTTCACTTCTAATTTTAACGTAGGCACTATTATAAGGGAAATTTTGCTGGAATATTTCAGTTTTTATTCGAATGGATAAGAAATAAAGGATTTCTCTAAAACATTCATCTTTGATTAAGGGATTTAACGATAATAACAATAGTCGTAGTAGGAATAACGATAAAGTAGTATTAATAATAATAATTATTAATCGTTTGGGGCCATTAAAATTGTTAACATCAAATTTCCAGTTGTCGATGGTTAAAGGAAACTGAGGTTGCTTATTTTTTCCAGTAATTCATATTTCTTATGTAAGGAATTTAAAAGGTACGGCATTTGACGCGTAAACACACCTGTTTATATATTATATATATTTCAGAAGCTTATAGCTGCTAGTAGTGGCATTCAATGTAAGCCTTAAAACTCATTGCAATTACAGTTTAATATCTTGAAGTTTTGTAATAAAAGTCTTTCTGCTAATCTAAAGTTTATTTGGCTTGGATTCTTAATTAACTGAGGCTTAAAGCTTTAAAAGCCATATGTAGAACTATTCACTCGTTGGGAAGGATACCAAGCGAAGTAATTACAGTGATTGAATTATTAGCACAAAACAAAGCAAAAAATGGAGGAAAGAAACCGTTCGACTAAATAGGGTGTTCATAATGTCTCGGTTAATGCGTTCGTTTGATTTATTTTCAAAATTAGGTACTTAGCTATAATTTACCCTTTTTTAAATAAGCCAATAGGTGCAATCCCAATAGTTAATGAAGAATTGTGAAAAATCACAAACTTCAAAAATAACTCACGAATAGATTTCTGTGTTTTCAGTCAATTAAATATTCAAATTTTATTTTAAGAAAGGGGGGTTTCCATAGGACTTCATAGTTTTAGATCAATAAAACCAAATAATAAAAGATATAAATCAGACCTAATTAATTCGCCCAACTCTTAATGAATCGAAATCTTATATTTTGAGTTACAATTTATGATATATGGTTAGTAATAGAAACTGAATTTTAACAGCATAAAAATTAAGTTAATAAATTTAGAAAAGAATAGGTCGGACCTACATTCTGAGTCGGGTAGTGGGGTAGCCCCTGGAGTTATCTTCGTTTCTAAATTTTTCTGGGGCTACAGTTACTGCCACGAGGCCATGGAGCTATTAAGGGAATTTGCAAAGTAAAACGTATAAATTTATTTTCTATTTTGAAAATAAATGAAAATTTTGAAAATTTTGAAAAATTCTAAATATCAAAATTCTAAATAACGAGAAATGTGAAAGGTTTCTAGCACACTTTAAAAAATAGCTATCAGTTCTATATTCGGTTCACGCTATTTTTTCTATTTTCTATTCTGCGCACCGACGACATTTGGTAGCAAAAAAAACTTAGAGGGACCTATTCTCTGTCATACATAACATGCAACATTTCTTTCGGCAGTTTCGTAAGGAGAATCGTGAGGGATTTGAATGCATTTTATTTGCACATGTGAATGGTGAATGGTATATCTAATCCTCAGGTTACCGAAAAAGTATTGCGGGCGTAGATTCTGGTTGCTTTGAATAAAATTCTCCCGTGATTGATTTCAGATGCAAAATCTGATCGATTTATTAAATTTATTTCAAAAATTGAATTTAATGAACAAAGAATTGCAAAAAAAGGCGGTAATTTGATTCATCCAAGGATGCAGTTACTGGGAAGATATTGGGCGATGTGAGTTTATTCTATTGTCACTGGTCACTGCAGCGACAGAGTCACATCGCAGGACGAAGATTTCGAGTTAATTTTATTATTTAAAAATTTGGTGTGATGAAATGCAATTAAGGTTCATAGATCCAATAGAAGGGAAGGTTCCAGAATGGCAAATCCATTTAGACTAAACGCGGTTTACGTTCTGGAAAGGCATTGTGGGTGTGGAGAGCGGGATTTAGGAAATAAATTTCCTTCCCTTTGCGACAAAACTTACCTGGTTGAATCAGCCTTTACTGAAGTCAATAATTTGAAGCCAAAAGCTTTGGATATTGGATATTGAGGGAAGAACACATCATGGATTATACTTCCAGCATAAAAAAAATTTTGCTTGATCACCCGCAGGGATGGGGAAAATTTTTTGAAGTTGTTTTGAAATTAAATCATGATTTCTAAGAATTTTTGCATTTTTTTCCATTTATCAGTTTATGAAGTTGTGACTGTTCGTAAAATATATATAATTTTTCTCTATTCTATCATTATAGATTTTTTACCTTCCAGCTCTTTTGTTTTAAGTTATTTAAAGTTGTGGTTTTCTATTTAAATGAAACAATTTTTCTCAAGAAACAGATAATATAACCACATACAACAAGAATAGTTCACATATTTTCTCACTTAGAAAAGTGCTTCTCGGCCTTTTTTGTCTCCTCTAAGAGGTGCTTCGTTTGCTTTTACAATCCCCCACTCCCCGTCTAATTCAGAAATTTACTTTTTTAGCAATTAAGTAGGTGTCAACCGACGATTCAAAAATGAAAAATCAAATCAACAAGTAGTGTTCTTTCTTGAGAATCATTTTTTGCTATTTTTAAGTGTTTCAAGGTCAAAACATCGCAAGAATATCGATTGTAAATGTTCAGCAAAAATGATCGAAAACAGTTTTATAACGATTTTTACGATAAAATCAAACCATAATTCCTGTAATGGTGCCTGCCCGCCATCTGCATTTTCCCCCGCACTTTCCGGATTCCTCGCAATGCATTTTGGATTCTTCTTTTTCGTGTTATTATTAACCTTCTAAATTTTTTCGGCTATTTTTTTTACATTTCCACTTTATTCCTACTTATAACTTTTTGGAAATGTATGTCTAAATTTTGTTTAGGAAAACTAAGGTTGTCTCTCTTTGTCTGCGTTTTATTCCTTGTAAAGCAGTAAAGCAGGGATTAGTGCTAATCATTTCGAATTAGACGTTTTCGACGTTTCGAATTATTAAATTTTTGCCCGGAAACGACTTTTAGATAAAAGCAGAGAGGGATCAGTCGCCACCTAAATTTTTTAACGATAGTTTTATTCCCGTCGAGAACAAGAGCGGAACTCTTGTCCCTCTCAATGTTCACTTGCTTGTCGTGCCCTCTATCGTTTAAACATCGTTTAGACTATTCCTTTTTTCCTCTTTCCAAACTGATATCGCATTTGAGTAATCATTATTACATAACTTAATAAAAAATCTGATGGTTTATTTTTTGGTTTAAAATTTAGGAAAGGAAAAACGAGGCGATTCCAAAGAGGATTGTTTTGCATCATGGGGTCGATTTAAAGCGTTAATGGTGAAACGGTATTGCCTCTGTGGACCCATCCATACCATCTACGTTGCCTGGTTTCTCCCGCTGGATTGCATAACTGTAGGACCAAATAAATCAGAAATACTGAATGTTACTGGAAGAAGAGGAAAAATGTAGATGAGGCTGTTCATTATTTTTGTCAGTAAGAAATTGGTTGAAATTGATTGATTCTTATGGGAAATTGGTTTCCCATCAATATATCATATCATATCACTACCATGATAGGTACCATAGTATTTGCTTTCATTAATCTATTATTTTAAGCATCATTACGATATTTTTAATCGAGAAATAAAGTAAAATTGACAAACAAGTGATGTTTATACAATAAACTTTCTCTTTGTTCTTCATTTTTGAACAACTCTTCCTTAATTTCCTAATTTCATCCATGTTTAGTTCTAGTCTGCATAATTTAACAATTTAATCCCTATTTTTCAGTTGTTTCGATCATTAAATTAGGCATAAATTAAGACGACGGCAATGACTAGTAATTGGTACTTAGCGCTCAGCCTTTTTGGTTAGTGTCACTTTTTTGCTAGCTAATAAATATGATAAGAAATTTTTATCAGGAAGACATTTGATGACAAAAGTATAGGTGGATCAGTGGCTTGGTTGAAACATCAGTTGAAACAAATAGCAAGCAAAATAATAATTGTAGCAATAATATATGAAATTAATATTAACAACAAAAATAAGCAAAAATTAAGTAGGAAATTAGCGCTCACCACTGTTAGAATGACCATTCCATTGGTTAATTTGTTGAGAAATTCTGAAGTTAATGCGAATTAATGCGACCGCATGATTAAAACTGGATTGGCAGGTGAAGTGCTAACTTAGAAAAATACTATAGAGATGCGGAGAATTGAAGATTGAAGTAATTTGACTGTGCGATAGTAGAAATTTTCGTTTAGTCATGTCGAGGAAGCAGGATTCCAGTTATTAACGATAATTTGAGATATTAACCACTCGTCTATCCTAACTCTCAATAATAATAGCAATAATATCTGCGGTAATAAAAATAATACTATTATTAATAACGTAATAAAATAGTAACGTTCCACAATGTTTATTGATCTACTGAAATTATATGCTTTATGTAACTGAACAATAATTCTGTCTTTTTCCTCATTAATTATTTTCAAAAGGATAATTTTAAGTTTCATCCAGAATTCCTGTAATTTTTCACTTCTGTAGAAGACCAAATACGAACGAAAAATGAGTGTTATTTACACATGAATTTGCGAGAGAAGTTTTATATGTACCAAAATATATTGTGAGGGGAAAATAGGATAACCGATTAACCAGTTATTTCGAATTTTCCTGTCCAGATTTATTCAATAGTTAGTGATTAACCCTATTTGTTAATAAACTTTTGATTAACTGCTGCTGTCTGTTGTCAATTTTGCCATGACGAAAATCGACGAAAAATTGTTTTCTCATCGTGCTGATGGATCTTGAAATTTTTTGGAAATTGATAAATTTATCACAAATTGCTAAAAAATGGACTTGTTTCACTTCTTTTTCTATTTCATTTTCATCGATCTAAATTCATGAAAAATCACAAAATCGTAAATGAAACGAATGATAAGCATCACACTTGTCATTTTCGCTAGCTTCGCTGGTCTCTGGGGAAATCGCTGGAGATTCAGTTAAGGGTAGAAGGTCTCTAACCGTTAGAATCAAAAGCCGAACCGTGAAATGATAATCTTAGCAATATACTATTTGACCATACTCGACCAAACGAGAAAATGAAAATATTTATTCAAATAAGAATCTAATTTCAGTAGTAAGAATTAAGAGTAAATTGGGTAATTTAAAATATATTTTTTTAGTTCTACGTTTTATGCTGTGATAACATGTCGTTTAATTTTTATATATTATCAGATCAGATTTTCCTTGTTATTGAATTTGAAATCAATCAATTGCTGTTGCTCGAAAGCAGTTTATCAAAATGCTAAAAAATAGGTGAAATATCGGCGAATTTCGACATTTTTCGACATTTCCTTTTAGTTGTTAAAACAATTATTCTTTAGATTCTTAGTTTTCTTAAGCAGTACGAAGTCGTTCAGAGCTGAAAATTTGTTGATGAAAGAAAAAACAATACAATGCAACAATACAGTGTGAGACAAAGTATTTAGATTTCCTTTCATTTTTAATTAAGCTGCTTCTGCTGGTTGATGATTTTTACCTAAAAGTACAAGCCGATCGCCAGCATTACTCCGATTTTATTTTCTAGCTTGCTCATTTCAGAAGTAAAATTCCACTTTGGCGCCTGAGGCGATCTGCAATTCTCTTGAATTCTTGGTATCATGTGAGATCATGCTACCGTAAAACTGAGTTCTTGCCTCGTGCCAGCAATAAATCCCGTCATAGCTAATATATCTAATATATAATATAATATATACTGTTTTTTTGTATCTGAATGATCCTTTGGCAAAATATTTTAAATATTGCAAATAGCTAGAAATATTTTATAAATTTTCCAGCAAGAATTCAATGGCTAATTTTACGTTTCAAGGCTTAAAGTTCAAGACCGCCTTGAAAAGAAACAGTATTCGATTAATGATCTAACTGATCTAAATTTTGTACTTTTTCATTTTTTTTAAAATTTTTCAAGTTATGATGCATAAAACGAGAAAAAAGTGTGAGAGATTGATTTACAATGTTTGGCCTTTTTTTCGATATTTAAAAATGGTTATTCCTCATTGTTATTTATATTATTTATTTTAATAATTCAAGTGAAAATAGTTCCATTGCAAAGGGTGCTGGTGTAGACACTTGCACCTCCAAGTTACCTTATAGTGGAGGAACCTTGTACCAGTGACCAAAGGAGCGAGTCGATCCGAAAATGATGCAGCGTATTGTTAGAGGAAAAGAGACCTCGTTGTAACGATTTAATAAATTGCCAGAATTGGTATTTCTGAGATCATCACATTTTATTGTGAATGTGCGATTTCCTTAAAAACTTTTTTTTAATTTCAAGGTTTCAAATTCTTTACGGATTTGTCAGAACATTTAAAATTTTTAAAAATACTGAATTATGAATTATGTTTTCGACATTTTTATATTTTTTTATTTTCCAAGAAAAATTTCTTCAGTTACGCATGACAGCCACTATTATTTCTCATCAATTTTTTTGATTTATCATATTTTTTGTTGTCAAAATTCTTTCAAATTTTTTTACATATTATCATGCCGATTTATTCCCAAATCTTCCCAATTGATCTGACTACAACAAACTCGTCGGAAATTTTGAAAAATTTGAGTCGTACTGCTTCGCTTTCTTTTCCTGAGATTATTCTTGGGTTTTATCGCTTCTAAAGTTTAAGGCAAGGCATAGGCCTTCCTTCGACTGAATTATGTTCCTTAGCGGATGAAAACATATAAAGTTAAAAGTGAAATCGAGAATATGCTTCATCTAGAAGCTATACTCAAACTCAGATGAGTTTGCTTTTATAGTCACTGGATTAGGAATTTTGGATGCTTTTAGAAGAAGAAGAGAATCATAAAACTGTTGAATTCCAGTAATTTGCTTTTAAAAGGTTCATTTTTGGAATATTCTGTTTTCATCTCTTTCTTTTGGCGATTATGTGTTTTGTTATACCTTCCCTTATTCCAATAAATTCGCCAAAAGCAAAGTGGGTCAAAAGCTGAATTGATACAATCAGGAAAGATTTTGAGAGCATTGGAGGAACAGCGATATATGGACTTAAACAATGGAAAAAATAATGGATTCTACTACTATCGACGATGGCGTCGAACCGACAACTTTTGGGGATAAAATGGCTTAGTGAGTTGTTGCTAGATTGGGAGCGCCGACGCTGAGGTTCGATTCACTGCAGGAGCAAGCCTGTGCAAAAATCCGGGTGATTCACCTGTATTTCCATCGCTATGGGACTCCCTGGCATATTGCTCAATGTGAAAAGCCAGTAGAGCGAGTTTAACCAGTAATGGTGAAGACTCTCTCATTATTATATGCCATTTAATTATATTATGCAAGAGAATATTGTGTTGAAAGACAGGGGAAGACATTTACCTTATTCTAACAGCTTGCACCATTGCTTTGGTTAGCTGCGCTCGGAGCTAAGACAAAGTTTTTATAAATCCCCCAATCCCATCCAATGTCATGCCTGAAATTGGCTGCAGCCACTTTTTTCCACTTCCTGAAGTTGCATATTCATAAATCATTTATGTCTAAACTTCTTTAAAACTTTTTTTTTAAAAATTTAACCTATTTCTGTTTTTCTTACCAATAAATTTTTTTATTCCATTTTTAATTTATGGTCTATTTGTTTTTGATTAAATTAAATGATTATTTCTATCGCATTCAGTCGAAATGTTGGAACTATTATTTTATTATTTTATATTTTATTTTATATTATTTAACTCGTGTCGAAAACTCAGAGAGTGAAACACCAACTTACAATTTGCAATTCAGAAAACAATGCAACAAAAAGAAAGTGTACCACGGCAGCAAAATTGGGTTAAATTTGATGAATCTGGAGGCGAAAACCGTCAAGATTCAAGGAATAATGCTATTATAGTTGGTAAGTAATTCTTTTGTAGAAATTTTAAGTTGACTTTGTTTCCGTCTTTTCATTCACTAGATTCGTAACGAAAAGTTTTCAGATAAATGTATTTTTATTTCTTCTCCCCCTAAAGCAAAATATTGTAAATTTCAACAAAATATTGAATTTAGATCCAGCAATGCTTATTTTTCCGAATCACCAAGTAGAGGCACAACCTTCTAGTGTTGCCGAGATTGAAGCGGTTGTGGAAGAAAACAGGATGCATACAAGATCATCGTCAATCATCACTCAAAATTCCAATGAATCTAAGACTCTTCTAAGTATATTTAATACATTTTCCGATATTTCGACTTTTTATTCAAATCTTAATAATAGCTTGCAGGAAATGGGAAAATCCTATGTGCGATTTATCCGAACAATATGCAATGCGCATGGTTGACTCCACCACAATTCAATCCATATAAAATGCCAAAAGAATTAAATAATAAGCAATTTTCAGTACTGATGAACTCATATGAAATTTTTATAAAAAATTCTAGCCTTGGAAGATTTAAATCCAAAATTATCATTGAATTGTTTTGTTATTATTATTTTTTGATGGTTCAATTAATCTTGGTCCCAAATTTTTTTGGAACCTTTTTAAAATATATTCTTCCACATATTTATTTTGAGAAGATGACATATTTATTAAGTAGAAATTATCAAGCAGATAGGTCTTCGTCACTTAGACTTCCCAATGGTATAATTATTCTTATCGCGAACAACGTCCAAGTACTGACGGTGAAACTATTGGCCCTTTCTTCTTATGTTTATTTTTTATTTTGTTGTAATTATTTAAAAAACATGTGGAAAAAAATCATTGCAACGGCTTAGTGCCAGATTTCAGCTAACCCTTGACGAATATATAGCAGCAATGAAAATGCTTACGAATGATTATCGCTTCTGGTAATTCTTTTTATTTTATCTTTTTATCTTCTTTCAGTCGTTATTTTTTTCTGCGGTTAGTGAAGTTGACAGTAGCACTTTAAATTTTTACTTAAATAGGTTCCGGTTGATTCGTGTTTCGTGCAACGAAACACCTATCGATATTTTGTCTTTCAGTTGGTTTCAGCGATGTTCATCTAGACTTTATTGTTAAAAAATTTTAATTCTTAGCTCTTTGAATTTTAGCCTATATCAAACATGAATATAAGCAAAAAGCCGCTGCATGCCTAAATTTTCATAAATAGAAATCACAGATATTGCAATATCGCCCTACTTTTCCATTTTAATCCTATTATTTTGCCTTATAAGTTCAAAAATATTATTATCAGATTATTAAAGTAGTCTTTGGCATAAGAAAAAAACTTAAGGACATTCTCTCCCCACTCCCTATCTGCTATTTATGTGACCGAAGGTTTCTCAATCGCCCAATATATATTTAATCGCAAATTACCTAACTTTTTTGCTTTTCTGGTTCAAAAACTCTCAATAAATTTTTGACATCTTTGTATTCAAATAATTAATAACCACAGTTTTTCCTATTTTCTCCATTTAGAGTAAACTGAAATGTTATAAGCGCAAGATGAAAAATTTATTAGTCCAAAGTATTTATTAACTACAGAATAAAGAAGTGAGAACTTGGAAGATTCGGTAGAACCAAAACCAGTAGGAAGGATTAGAACGAATGCAATACCTAATGGGTTTATAAGAGGTTGTAAGAATATAAAAAGTTTCACGGACATAAAAAAATGGTGCAAGATGGGAGAATTTAAGGGAATTTAACCAAAAAGAACAAATGGGTGACAACTGCACTATTTAGCATATTATTACAAAGGATTTTACGAAATACATGGGAAAACGCAAGGCTAATTCAACATTCCACAGTCTAATTCATTTTAAAATTCGGGAGTTTCCGACAGCGACTACGACAGCTACAGTAATTTTCTAGTAATTATATAAGGTTCATACTTGTTTAAAGACATTTTTTCCTGAGATGATGAGAAATTTTCTGCAACAAAAGTTTTTTGTATTTAGCCATAATTTTTTCAGGTGTTACTGCATGTTATATAATAGAATTGTGGCACTTTGGATGATATTTGCGGTGATAATACTCATTTCGACTCTTTTAAGTCAACCTGATGGCGGTTACCCCATAGTTGTCTTCACTTTTTTGTGGATAATATTACTCTTAGTCGGAATATTTTGTTTGTTTATGATTAGAAAGCATGTAAGTCTTATAAAAAGTTAACCACTGATTACCATTTTATAATAGATGCCTGATAAATGAGAAAAAAAAGGAACTAACGCCAAGACTAGTAATGTTGTTTTTGCTCTGTGTGCTTCTAATTGTTAAAGGCTTAGCAGCATTATTCAGTTGTTTAATAATTTTAATTATATTCTCTGAAGTCACCCATTCCACTGATAGAATTAGCACTATTATTTGTAATTCATTTGTTTTCTTATGTTTTCGATTTGTTGTTATTAACATCAGTGTTGCCGTGCTTAGTTTTTCTTTTTTATAAGCGTAATATGAGGAGAGGGGTTTTGAGAAGAAAAAGTTGGCAAGAAATTCGAAAAGCTTCCAAGTGAAACTGTTAGCCTGGTTACAGTTGAATATTGGTCTACGACACTGTGTGCAATCGGCAAATAAATTACTCATAAAGAAAAATTTATTAATTGGCGTTGAAGATCGAGGTCAACTTTCTTGTCACAAAGTTGTTGTAAGTTGTTTCAAGTTTTTTCCTTTAACATATTTTTCTGGTCAGAAAAAAGTTACAATGTTGGTTGTTAGTACAGTGAGAAATCTTTGCCAGGAAGTCATTTGAAGGTAGAAGTACGAGTCTTTTCAACCAAAATTTTACCCCTATCAAGAGGAATTTAATCTGAGTTACAGTCCACTCGATTTTCCCTCTTAATTTGCGGGGCAATTATGGAACTCCAATGCTTTTTTACTGATTACTTTTGTTCCACCCAATGTTTACATTTATGAATATTCATCATAAATTCACTAATTTGAGAATCCATAATTATTTTAGTTTTATTAATTTTAATTAACTGAACTAGTAATATAAACTAGTATTAAGGAAGACGAAGAAATTCGTGTCCGTGCAGTATAAACATAAAAGGGCGAATAAAACAAAATGATTTGTTTCTGGCCTTTCCACTTAAATCTTCTTTCTTTATTTGACCTATTGATCTTTGCTGGTTTTAAGTCACTTAATAAACACATTTACATGGAGCAGTGCGTGGAATTTTCCCCATTCTTAAATTCTTTAAAAAAGAAAATTGGAAATTCTCCTCCGAAAAATTCCTTTAAGCTTCAGTTTATTTTTATAATTTCTTCTACATAATTTAATTTCACCTTGCACCATTGCTGGTTTCTATTTCTACGCTGGCGACTAGGCCAAGACTTTTCAAAGCCTGCTGATTTAATGCTTGAAAGTTGTTGAAACAGTTCCTTTCCGTTCAAACTCCTATATCGCTAAGTCGTCCTGATAATACCGGTCCTGATCTTGTCGATCCAGGTCTTGGTTGCTCTTTCTCGATTTTAACACCACCTATAGGACAGCAAATAACGAGATACATGTCAATTTCTATGATGACGAATACGGTCGAAACAGGCGACGCTTTGAGACCATATTCTCAATGTTGGTGATATTCGAACGAAAGTGGATAAAACGCATGAGATTCTTTCTAGGATATGCTCTAGGCAAGAATAATTTAAGGTAAATAATTTCTTGATATCTTCCACTCACACTGGTCACATTTTGCAACTACATAGCAGAACTGTGCATACGACAACGAGATAAATGCGAACTTTTGATGTTCGATTCACGCGATTCCACAAAGATTTCATGAAATGGAAGGCAGCTGCGATAAAACGAGTAGGGGTTTCGTTTTTCGCTTATTGGTTTACGAGAGGATCCAAAATGTTTAAAGTCTCTTAAACTCTTCCGGTGATAAATTAGTGAAAATGAATTTGTCACCGCCTGGCGAAGGCCTTTCCTCTTATTTTTCTATTCACCCGAAGTATAAATTTCGATGCACTATCGATTATCGATTCATATTCAAGCATCTGTTACATCCGGCAAAAATGACTATGTAATCAGGATGACTATGTGTTCAGCTAATTTGACATGCTCTGGATTGATTTGTACAGTTCTTAAGTGCCAACAAACGGTGTCCATCATCCAATCTACGGCGTACGAATGAATATTATTCATAAATTATCAAAGTACGTCCTACGTACTATTCTTGGAGAGTGGGAAGAGAACTGGTTTGCTCCACTAATCTGATTCTTTATTGTTTCTTTTTTCCATACTACCTTTTAAAAGCATGTTGTGAAGAATTGAAGAAGCTGTAATCATAGGGTTCGCCTTCCCTAATTCGTCAGATTTTGATAATTACCTCGGTTCAAGAACTAAGCCATTCTGATTGTTTTTTTCTTTATCAGGCTTTGTTCATGCATCTATCGCGTGTACCATCAAGCTGGGTACATGATGAGGAGAATGCTGTTAGAGCTTAAACAAGGAATTAACAAGGAATCCTTGTTTTATTAGTGAAATGATCCACGACAATGTCGATATCAGTATCGGTTAGCAACTGATACAGAGTTTGAACGTCGGCTCGCAAATAGACCAATTAACATTGCCAACTAAGAAGTACTGTAGCGGGTAATCGCGAAGTTTAAAATCTTTTCTGAAACTTTGCCAATCTGATTATTGTAAATTTTGATACACTTTCAGATACTGTTTATGTTTATACGCATGAAGGAATGCTTAACAGATATTGTACGACTTATAAGGCAACACAATGCCTATGCGCTTACACCAAGAATGGCAAATATTGCGGAAGAAGATATAAATAAAACAGCGATTCATCTTATTTTAAAATATAGCCAAATGTTTGTGAAGCGATCATCCAAGGTGTACGATTGGTTTGATTAATTCATTTCTTGGAAAATTAAATCCGCATGATCGAATTTCAGAAGCAATTAATGTTTCCAACTCGTCCGGCCGAAGGCGTTTCCACATATTCTCCAAAACATTTTCAGGCGTCATTTTGTATATGCCAATACATCAACTTAGTAAGTTTTCACAATTTATTTGCTCCACAGAAAACATTTTCATTTTCATTTATCAGAAAATATTTCCACCAGTGAATTACTTCGGAATAGAAGATAGATAAATTTTTAGCGTCTCAGATTTCACCCTTTAGGAACCACGGGTCCATCCACATTTTAGGTTCAATAATTGAATTAATGGGGCCCTACTTTAGTCGAAACAACACATCACTCAGCCATCTACTACCTCCTTATGATTTCCTTCCCTTATAATTTCCTTATAATTTTCCTTTTCCCCTTCCCTTATAATTTCCCTTTATAATATCCCCTTTTGCAAGAATGAATTTGATATTACAAAACCCTAAACCCTTCTCGTTTTTGAGATATAGAGTTGTAATTTAGAATAATTCAACAGCAAGCACCAAAGTAAAATAGAATGTATTTCAACGCTATAATAATAATACAACAATACTCTATACAACAATAAGTCAAAACGACTTATTATCCCTCACAAATTGAACAGTGAAATTGAAAAGTATGGAATGGCTCATTGCTATGAATGAGCAAAATCAAAACGTTTAGCCTCAACAATTCGTAAGGAATACAAAATGATGTAATAAACTGCCAACAAGTGCTGTGGTAATTATTCCAGATTAAAACATTTCCGATTGACCTATCAAATTTCCGCTAGATCATGCGTAGAGATTCTTGGCGTACCATCTTTGCATGGTTGATGGGCGTTGTGGGATTCATAGTGGCTTAAATTAAGATCTGACAAGCAATTTAAATAGGATAAAATGGAGAACAAGAGTCACAGATGTAGATGACCTTCAGCTCGACACTTTGGACATAAATGTGTGATAATATCACTTTTCCATTTTGTTTTTCCCGAAAACTTGTCAGACAAGATTTATAACACCAACACTAACGAAAAACGAGTAATAGAGTGTGATTGCCACAGCGCATCATTTGACCCAAGTGCTCATTTCGATATTGCTGTAGCTGGACCAATATATACCTATGGTGAACAACCACATTATTTTTGATCTATACCGCGAATATCTACGTTAGCAATTGTGACCCTCAATTTAATGGAGGATTTGCACAGATATGCTTCTTATTCCAACCAATATCCAGAACCATTGCCAGTCTCACAATCAATCCATCTTTTGTGGACGTAGATTATATGATTATACACTAGTAGAATAGTTGACATATAGTTACTGCATGATGTAACGCCATTTCTTAGGCTACTTTATTTGGCTGATTTCATCTACCCTCTAAGAAGATCCTCTTTGTATTGTCACCAGGGCTAGATTCGCCATTGATGGACAAATTAGAACTGTAACTCGTTAAAAATATTACAAGCTGTCACGTTGATCCAGTGCCATTCATCCAGTATCTCTCTCGTTTAATGCGCATATCGCCCTGCGCAGTGGCAGCTTGCAATCACCTTATGAGTTTATACAGGATACGGGATACGATCTTTCGGTGCTATAGCCGCTGTACTACCTATATACTTCTGATTTAGGACGACATTGCATATGTTTTGATGGCGATCGACTTGTGTATAAGGTTAATACATGGATAAAAGATGACCGCAGCGTAGAACACGATAATAATTTTTGGATTCATCAAGATCAAATGTTATGGTGGTAAGAAGACCAATTCATTACTGGGGCTAGTTGATACTACCTCTCGGATACTAGCAAATCACCAATGTAGTATGGTGCTAAAACCACTGACCACGCCAAGGTCGATGTGATGTCGATGTTATGGATAATTTGGATTACTAGTCAACTTTTCCACCCACTTGGAATCTGATTAAAATGGGCGTCTGATGCTTTTTTGCTGTCATTATCACAAGCGATAGTTTTAACCATAGAAACATTGGTCACTCTGTTCCAGTGCGTTGATGTGAACATGACATCCTTACCAGACTTTCTCAGACTCATAGGACCAACTGTACATTTCTCCATGTCCATGGTGGTTTATCAAGTACATCATTCAGGAAGTTAATCACTATCAACATTACAATGAAGTTGTCCTCGACATTTTTACCAGAGGGAGCGGAGATGTGGCTGTCCACAGCTTAATGCACGGGTAACTGCTTACATTTACAACTGTTACGCTTGGGACTGTTATAAAAACTATAATGTCGCCGATTTGTGGGACAATTCGCTAGCGTTGAATTGGTTTCTCGTAATATAAGTGTAAACATATATGAAAACATTAATTGTCAACAGTGGTTGTTTGTCAACTATGATTTGATTATGTCGATGCATATTCTGTGGTGTTTCCACCATTTGCTTTCACAGTGTTTGACATACTGCAACAGATGTCGTGTCAAAGGACACAGGATATAGCCCCGATGATGGGTATAAAAAATAGAATAATTGAAGGCAGTGGAATTATGCTCGCCTGCCTCGCGTTAATATTTTAGAAAATAAACGTTGTCCTGGGCAGCAGTAAAAGTGTATTGATCATCGCACGTAATTATAAAAATTTTATTCCTCACTCCACACCTTAAACTTGGGCAATTAAACCACATTAATAAACAAATAGAAAAAATTCGATTAAATCAGAGTCTAAAAGGCAAAACAAAGGAAATGAATAAGAAAATAAGGGATAAAATAACAAAAAATACACAATTATTGGGACCGAACCGCTTGGGTCCCTTGATAATGAGGAAAGAACAATTTTTTTGAGAAAAATGTACAATTTATACTATGAACTAACCCTTACCTTTTATTGACATATGAAATAGAATAAACAAAGAATCGATTAATGAAAGTTTTCTTTTGACGGGTCGAGGTCATCGGTCTGAAATATTAATTTTAGAAAAGACATTGCATTTCGCGACAATGACAGTTTTGCGACAGCAACTGGTCCGCTGCCTATTCCCTGATGGAACTGGTCAGTCGGTAGTTTGAAGGTAGATAGCTGCTCCGTACATGCCTAGCAGGCAACGTAGATTATCTGCTTTGCACGGAGGATGATTAAGAGCTCTCTTTTTTGCTTATGCTAATACGTACCGCTGGTACTTGACATGATCAGTGGCGTTAGCGCCACGCTCCACTGGTTTATTCCACAATTATAACAGATTATTCGAGATTTTTTCATAGAATTAAAAAGAATTATTCAATCAAAATATATTTCAGGAACATTTCAATCGTGAACCACGACCATGGTACGAAACGTTAATCTCATAGAGAAAATCTCCTATACATTTTGCAATAACAACAGTTACTCGTATAACCTTCACTTTTTTATCCTTTTGATCCTTTCCTTTGCATCCTTTTGATTATTAAATTCGTGCGTTCCAACTGTGTTTTAAAATTCTCCTTGCTTTTCCATCCACGTTGTATTTAACCTTATGAATTAAATGGGTTTTCCTTTCTAATATCTAAATGATATTTAAAAAAGTTACGATGGCTCATTTCCACTGATTATATAATCATTACAATTTTTCAACTTTTTCATTCAAACAGAAAATAATTCATCTGAGATCAAAAAAAATTCAATTCTCGCTCGTGGTAAGAGGCAAACCTATTACTAAAAAGAATCCATGAACCACACCTGTACTTTCATCCTGATTTTTTAGTTAAGCGATGTAATTTTTGCAATCACTAGAACAGCCAACCGTGCAATGTTATATATTTTTATATATATATGTTATATATAGAAGAAATGGAAGTTTTTTTTTCTGAATTTTAAGAAGCAAATCTGTAGAATCATGAGATAAAAATTTATTAACCCTTAATCCTTAATTAGCCGCTAAAAAGCTACTTTTTCTCTGAATATTCTCGCATTACTCTGTTACTTTGAAGCAATTTATTCCATTTTTGTTGGTTACGGTTCTTGTAAAAATTAAAATATTTTTTGATTGTCTCTGTATTGAAATGAAACATTATTGAATGATTTAAAGTACTAAATCTAAAAGTGGTCATAATATTGATAAAGCACTTTCATATTTTAAAACAATTATAATTTTATCGAGTAATATTTCTGATTTCAATCCAGTTGTCAAAAATGCTAATTTCCTAGATGTTTAACTAATTTCGATATTACTTTATCCATAATTATTTTGAAAAACGTGACAAAACAAATAATACAAAAAAATTAGTTAAAATAATGGCCTTCTTTTTCTGCCAGTGTATCTTGACGCTGTGCATACTTTTCTGCAAAAAATATTCAGTTGAGAAAAAATTCCGATTATACAATTTAAAGTAGAAAATTAATTGAGTGTTGCATGAATATATAATTGCCTGAACTTCACGTATTACAAAAAAAAGAAAAAAGAAAAAAAAGAAAAAAGAAAAAAATTTGATATTGCAAGGATTCAAATTATATAAGAATTCAGATGAGCAAATGATGTTAAAATAGAGTGAACATACTTTCCTCGTTTCCTTGCTCTTTCTTTTTTCGCTTTAATCCAAGCTTTTGATCCTTTGGCCAAGTCGGATTTATTTTTCTTTATTCCAAAAACTCTAAAAAGTAAGATCGTTTTCTAATCATATAAATTAAAGATAAATAAGACCAAGATATCAAGATATATAAGATATAAGACATACCATTTAAAAAATCAAATATTCTTTTCAAACTCGGAAAATCAAACCTCCTCTCAATACTCGGAATATGATTATTCTCTTTATTAAATGATGTAAGAGCTCGAGGAAGATGTTGCTGACCACCAGTCATCAAAACCAGATATATTCGAAAAAATTTTAAAAGTACATAATTAGAAATGCGAATTCTACAATTATATATATTTTGAAGAAAATATACCTTTATAACTTAACTTTAAATCTTTTAATCATCAAATCAAATTAAGTTAAAATGATCACAAACTTTTTTGCTTTAGTACTATTTGGATAATCAATTACGAGACCACCAGTAAAACCAGCTCGCATTGCATAAGATGAAATAAGTTCGCTCTGCTCAACTGTCTCGGGATAAAACTGAAAAACTGCTCGAGTTCCACGACACTAAAAAAATTTACAAGCAGTTCCCGAAAGGAAAAAAGAAATTTTATAAAATTAGGATTAAAACATATAGTAAGGAAAACTCACTAAGCAAGCATATAACGTTTGAAAAAAATGTAAAAGTCGTTTTTTCGGATTCTCATCTCGTGAATTTGAATGACAAAGCCACTGAATAGCCGATATACTTAAAAAATAACAATTTGATTTTCCACAACATCGATTTAAAAATATTTATATTTCATGAAAACTTTCTTTAATTCGGAAAAGATATTTTTATGAGCCAAAGTACAATGCTGCATATCAAAAAAACACCAATTTGAAATTTTTCATGAGCGCTAATTCACAAAAATCACCTTATCGCACCATCAAATGAGCCTGGAACAAATGGCAATCCATTACCAATATCTCCCAAAATTAGATCACCGCTTACTTCTCTACCATTCTGAGCAATGTCTAAAAGGTGTTATAATGTATAGTTAATGCTCAAAAACCTCATAATATTTTTTTCATATTTTTATAAAACCATATTTTTTTTACGAAGAATTTTATTTTTTGCCATAAATATTTGTTTAAATAGCAGTATTTTAAAATTAAAAATCTTTGTGGTTCCTTAAATTTTTCAACAAAGATTAAATTTCTTTTGAAAAATTACCAAGCATTGCCTTGCTTATATCAATTCCAATCCACTGATGGCCAGCTTCTGTCAAAATTTGTCCACTAAGCCCTGAACCACAGCCAATATCTAACAAAAAACAAGATTTATCGTCAGGAAGCGCCAATAATTGAATTGCTCTTTTCGACATCTCGGACTGAACTGATATTATTCGTGAACTGGAAAAGACCACTTATCAAATTAATTTTTAATTAAAGGAATGATAAAGATTAAAAAAAAGTTAAATGGAATCAAAATAAAAGGCATACTTAATTGAATATTTCGCTGCTTGTTCTTCGTTGTAAAACTAAAAAATAAATTTTAAAACCTAATTCACACCATTACTAAATTTACAAGTTTTTAGTCATAATTAAATAATTCCAAAAGAGAACCATTTGAAGACCAGTGATATAGGTTTAAGTGGTGGAAAAAACAGCTGCCACTTTAGAAATTAACACCAAGCAATATGGCGACAGACAAGGATAAGAGAAACAGAAATGATGCAGGTGCTGAACTTGATGATAAATAGTTGCGATATACCGATAGTAGATAACTAGCACAAAAAAAAAGAAAAACTCACGATTTCTGGTGCTGCTGCATGTTCTGGACGTGACATTTTCCACTTACTTCACCTATAACATAAATAATTTATTTTACAAATTTTTAATAAGAAAAGGCGTAAAGAAATAAAATTATTTGAAAATTATGGAAAAAAAATCTGTTTCCACGAGAATATCTAATAAATATAATAAATATTAATATGTTTTAGTAATATTTTCAGTTGACTTCATCATTTACCTATGTTAAAAAATCAAAATGGCTTAATAATTTTATCGAACGCCGATGATGGGAGTTCTGCCCCTAATGAGAGTAAATGAACCTTTCAAAATCATAGTGATACTTGTGACTCTCTGGTGAAACTAATCTAGTCCTGGAAACCAGTGAAAAGAAACAATGAACACCCTTAGAAAAAACTTAAAAATTTATTTAAAATTGTTAACAGATATAACTAAATCTAAAAACTGAACATGTTCGAGTATACCATTTCACTATATTTGTTCGTGCACCACCACACATTTTGGTTTTATATCGAACTTCATTGGCATTATTCTCAGCACATACAAATTTATAGCAACAGTAAATTTCTTCACTGAATTTTCAATACACATAGGGGCCAATATATAAAGCAATATATATTTCATTTCATTACTAGCTAAGAATAATACGAAACATTAAAATATGAACATTAAAAAAACATTATTAAAAAAATCACCGCGATATGTAAATAAAAAACAGTAGTGATTCATTCATTCATTCATGGTACTCAGACAATTTTAGATTAAAGAGAACATTTTCGATACAAATTAGAGAAATGCTTGTTTCTCACTTTGAAACTCAGCTAAAAAATTCGAATTACCTTTTTTAATGTGGATAAGAGACGAGTGTTCGTTCCTTCGACTAGAAAAACATAGTGAATTTCGCTCACAAGAATAAAACTATAAGGGAGACCGAGAAGGTGATGGGAGGGGTGACAGCTGTGATTCAGAATCCCTCACTGGCGAAAATTCATCCTAATTGCCAAAACTAAGTGTTGCTGGAAGAATTTTTTTCTATCCCAAACAAAAGATTCAGCTAACCTCACATAACACAAGTTTGCATCTCTCGAGCATGCCTAAATAAATAACGAATTAACCGACAGGCCGATGTATTAACCGTTAAGATTCAGCCTGCCTCCCAGCCAACTGCTTTTAGTCTTCCCAACAGCCAAATGAAATGGATGAAAAATGGAAGAAAAAAAGTGGACATAGAAAAGAAACGCGAATAGTAGTGCAATATTTCAACGTGCCATTTCTCTGCTCCATTTTCCACGGACTTTACAACCGAAAGGTACTTCCAGCGTGGGGACGAGAAGCCAAAAAGGATTCTCACCAAATGTGGTACCCATACGACTAATTTATTTCGCAACGAACGGTGAACAATCGCTGTATAAACGGTGTTTGAAGTGCAAATCGAAAATCGAAATTTGTTATTCGATACAATTAAAATACAAAAAAAATTAAGGGGAGGTATAAATAAATGAAAACCTATAGGAACAACGACCCTCTCTCACCGAAAACTGTTCCGTCCATACTCTGCGCTTCTCGGCTGACCACCTCCTGAGTCGACACCAAAGGAGTGCTTAAAAGAGGACTTTTGGCTTCTAATTGCGAAATGAGATTTTCGTCTCGTGAAAGTCTGCAACAATTTGTATCGTCTCCGTGTTGTTTTGCTTTCTACAATTGGATGTGGTACATTATTTTTGCAGAGAGCTATCGTCGCTTTTCTTTCAGTCGGGTGGCATCCTTGCCTCGTTTTCTGTTTAATTAATCGGTTGAAAATTAAGTGCTTCACATAAAGTGGTCGGTTTCCTAGATCGCTTATCGCTATTTATTTATTTATTATTAATTTATTTATCGAATTTATCGCGCTTTTGTTTTTTTATAAAATCACCTTTTTTTCATTGCCTTTAAATTTCATCCCTTTTTCGGTGAAACCCCGTCCTTTATTATTCCCACTTAGGAGGGGACGCGATAGCCGAGTGCTGATTGCTCAGATCGGCGTCTTGAGCGGCAGTAGCTCGGGGTCCGCGAAACTTTTACAAAATGGGAGTGAATCATTAATCATTAACCCGAGCACTAAATAAACCTGGCGCAGTTCTGCGCTTACGCGTTGTTTTGCGCTTCCTGGCTCAAATTTTTCGTCACTAATAGCCAGTAGCAGCCAGTGGAGCGAGCTCAGTCAATAATGTTGAGCGTTAACTAGTTTTATTTTCGTTCGTCAATTCCCTGTAGTTTTTTTTAATTTTTAATTTTATTTCTTTTTTTAGATTTTTTAGTTCATAATTTATTTTATTAGCAATTAATTAGCAATCAAGTCAGTCAAGTAGGTTCTGTCTTAAAGATCTTTTCTTACACTGCCAGAGAAGTCATCGAAATTGTCACTGCATTCTTTTATGGTTATATTTTATTGTATTAGTGTTGTTCAATGTTATACATGACTTTACATGGCGTGTTTATTCAGTTTCGCACCCGATCGCCAATTGTCAGTTTGCTGTGGTGCTATTGTTTATTGTCTGTGGAGATGGAAAAATGAAATTGTATTTTTCATTTGAATTATATTCTGTTTTAGGATTCCATTTGGTTAAAGATATATTAGAATACCAAGATTTCTTCTTCTTCTTCTAACAGCCCTCGCCATTACTGGTTAGGCTGACTCCACTGGCTAGAGAGGTAAAATGTCTCCAAGTTGCCCGGTCCAACGCCATTTTCTTTCCATCGTCCAAGTCCATAAATCGGTGGTGCTCCTGTAGGTTCACAATTTTTTCTCTTTTGGTCGAGGTCTTGATTGGTTATCTTCGCTTTTAACGCCAACCATCGCAATGTTAGACAAATAGCGAAATATGCGTCAACTCCTGTGGTGGACAACGGAGAATTTAACCAGTGAAGGCGATGCCCTATTATAATATTATTAATACACATAAGTGAAGATGGATACATGCGCGAATTTATCCGCTCGACGGACTCGTAAAATGTGTCTTAGATAGGGATAAAATGGCTCAGGGGGTTTTTTGTTTAGTTCGGAGCGTTGAGGTTTTACCCGGTGATGCTGGCCCGTGCATATTTGTCCAGTGTAACAAGCCAGCAGAGCGAGTCTAACCAGAAATGGTGGGGACTATTAAAAAAAAAATCTTAGACATAAGTGGTCAAAGGCTAATATTTTATTAATATCTTCCACTCTCATTGGTTATTTTTCGCAGCCATATAGCAAAATCGAGAGAATTGCAGCTATATGGATGCGGATTTTCGTCTTTATGGTGGTTTCGCGACGGTTTCATAAAGGTTTCATCAACCGGAAAAACACATTTCTGGCTGCCATGATACCAAGTCTATTGGAAAGTTTATGCTTAATTTTTAAAATTTTAGCCAAATTTTTATTTTGCAAGAAAATTTTTTAAGATTTGGAATTTCTTGGTTCTTGTTTGGAAATAAATTTCTTAGAGTTTTTAATAATAACAGAAATGAAATTTCTTTCCCGGATAAAGTTCTCGAAATTTTTTTTTTAAAGAGTGTTCCATTTCTAGACTGGCTGTGCTTGCTTTGTCGGATCAAAAAAATTTCGTCGGGTTATCATTTGATGGTAGAAGTACAGGTGAGTTGCCGGCATCATGCGGATTTTTGAAAAGAACTTACTCCTGCAAAAGTTAGAATATCGGCGCTTCAAAATAGGAGCAGACTCCGACTGAAATTTTTAAATTTAAATCTACATAAATTTATATTCTCAACGAATTTTTTTTATATGTATGGACTTATTTTATTTGACCTTTTTTGTTGATTATGCAATATCCTTATGTCGGTTAATTTTATTATTAAACAGTCACTTGGTTCGAATTTACGAAAACTCGAAAAATAATTGTAATAGTTGTTGTATATTATTTCTTCCATAATGTCGGATATGTCAGAATCGGACGTTGTCCAGGTTAGTTCCTTCTTTACAAAATTTTTATTCTGAAATTGAGATTTATTTAAAATTGCAGTTTTAAATCATCAAATCATCAGTTGAACAAGATAAAATTTAATTAATGTAAGATTTTTTTAGTTGTATCGCGAAATATCTTGATGATGATAAAACATCGTCACTTTTGAATTTCAGGAGGGTATCGATAGCTTGAGTATATTGTCAAGTGGAATTGACTTAGATGTGGAAGAATGTAGCGATGTATTAACAGTAGATTTTACTGATGATTCAACAGATATCATTAACGTATGTATGTTTGTTGTAAATTTAATTGAATGATGTAAAGGAATTTTTCTTATGAAAAGCAGAGAGTATATTTCACGAAAATATTCAATGAACTTTTATTGATTTCACTACTGTCATCGAGAATTTCGTACAGGTTTTGTATAATTTTCATGCGAAGCATGAATCAATTATTGCTGAATTTGCCGATGTTGAAATATTTTTAATTTCTATCGATGCCCTTTTAATCGAATTAACAGCCCACGATTATTTGAACTGGACTTTAGGAGGGCAGACAATCGTTATAGCAAATCAGGTTATTTTTAAATATTTTAACTATCATATTCGTTATTTTTAATTTAAATTTTTTGGTGGAAAGACATTTTTATTCATGTAGCCCAATCATCTTTTAATTGGTTTAATTTCAGATCGATATTTTTTTAAATCAACTTAATGAACTGGGTGGGAAATTTAAATTGATATGGTTTACTGATTTGCTCACCATTTATCGCAAGTATACGGTTCTGAATTTTCTACGTTCTTTTGTTGCTGCATATCTTTTGCAAAGTCGGTGGTCGTCTGAAATTGAAGAATTCGATAATCCAAGAGACCAGACTTGGTCCAGTTATTTACGTGAACTTACACCATCTTTTTTGGTTGGATTTTTTGCATCATATTTTAGATAATTAAAAAAATTAATTCTAATTAGTTCTAATTTAATTGTAATGTGTAGTTGAAAATTTGTGCCATAAATATGCCAATATGTTCTTGAACATACGTCTTTTAAAGAATTGAGTTAGGCTGATTGTTTACAATTCTTCACTTTTTTCATTTTTTTATTTTCTTTATTTTCTTTATTTCTCAAAAAAATGTTTCATCCATTTTTCGTTTTCGCATTGGTTCCATCAAAAAACGAACAATATTTTTGGTTGCCTAATAATATCATCTCCTAAAGTTCCTTAATTTTTTGGTAATTCGAGAAATATTTGATAAAAAAATTTTCCTTTTTAGATGACTGATATTGGAATGCCATCTAAAGCAATAGTACCTGAAGAAGAGCCAAACTATCGTCTAATGTTGGCTTCGATAGTTCTTCAAACACTGGCTTCTGCAGTGCCAGTTGTTTATTTGAGCGGTTTGATAAAAAACTTTTGTTCCATCATATGTCATAGGATCGAGCCAGTTATTGTTGATTTTAAAGGATGGGATGTTTTTTTGGCAAAAGTATGGTCTAATAAGCCCAAAAGTTAGTACAAGTTCTGATAGTTTCATTTATTTTTAAAGTCTCATTTTCATTCATTTCATCTTTTTTAAATCCACGAGTAGTTTTTTCAGGATTGAAACGTTCATTAGATTTAAGTTCAATGGAAAATAAGGCTTATTTTTGGTCGAAGATCATAAGAGAATGCAAGGACAGGTAAAATATTTATATCTAATGTAGACTTTTTTACTATTAGTTAAATTCAATTTTTTTCTCATAATTTCATCCATAGATTTATTGAATTTCATTTCAGCGGTAAATTTGATAATAAATTTGATGTTCTTGCTCTTTCTCTATTAATATCAACCCTAGTCATTGAAAAACGTGGTAAAGATCGAATATATCTGCCTGAAGTAGATTTTCCTCGAAGAGGTATGGACCATATAGCCCACCGAAGGATTTTACTAACTGTATGTTCGCAGTATTTGGATACCATTGATTTTAAGGTGATTTTGATTGGAAACGGATTGTGCTCTCTTACATAATTTTGATTTTTTTGTTATCAATTATTGTATTATTTTTGATTTATCCCATCGCAACTGATCTGTCAATTCTAATTTTTTTCTTAGAACAAGCCTTTGAAATTTTCATTAGCGGATTTGTGGGACGGACGTTTTATTATCAATATCTTCGATCACATTAACGCAGGAAAGAAGGTATATTTTGTATGAAAATGAATCGAGCAAAATTTTGCGAAAAATTCATCCGATATTTTTGTACAAGTTTAGTACAAAAAATTTTGCATTTATTTCAAAAATAATTCTAGGTTTCCCCATATCGGATCCAGAATGAATTAGTCGTTTTTCATGAATTGTCAGCTTTGGAAGTTTCTCTTGAAGTCGATATGAATGATCAACTTTTTGACGCAGTGCCCGTAAATGATGCACTTCTCAACCATGTTATGCTACTGGAAACGGATTGTGCTCTGTTACATAATTTTCTTCCAAAATACAAAGAAGCTATCGGAAAATTTAATCGTATTGAGGTATATTTCGTGGAAAATTAAGTTATTCAGGAAAATTGCAGAGCTTGGTAAGTTGAGAAAAACCATGTTATTAAATGAACGATTCGTTGATTGATTTAAAATAAATGTTAAGTGAAATTTTAAGTGAAATTTCGAAAGAATTTGAAAAATTTTCCTTGGCTTTTATCAGACTTTATAAGAAATCGTATATTTATAATTGTACTTTTTTCATACCAATTTTTCCTCAGTTTTTTTGTTTCTTTTATATAATTCAATTGCAGATGATTAGATCACAATTTATCAAATCATTTTTTCATTTCAGAAATTTTTTTTAGGAGCCAGAGGTTTTCGAACAATTCCGGAAAGTCGCAGGATGGCGATTTCATCCCATCCAACCACTATATGCTAAACCCTTAGAAAAGATTGATGATGATTCATTTAACAAAGATAGGCAGCGTCTTTATCGTTGGTTTGCTTTTAAATCATTTGCTTGCAACCTAAAATTTTCGGTTCAATTTTCAATGGGAATTTTTCGAAACAACTTCGCTTAATTTTCAGTGTATATAAAACAATCTTTATAAGAAAATAAATGAATATTTTGAAATCAACTGTTGCAAAATTGAAACAGGTACGGTTTATTCGCACAGTCATTGGAAAGTCGAGGAACCGATTTATTGGTAGATTTTTCTCGAACGCCTCGAACTTCTGCTATCTCAACAACTGAAGAGAAAATAAAGCATCAACAAAGCAAAGGAAAACCAGGCAATTTTTTTATTTACTTTTCTCATGTTTCATGAATATTTTAAATCTATTTGTTATTTAGCGCTAATTTATATCTATTTTGTTATTTTTTTCGTTTATTTGGGCGTAAATATAGGTGCGAAAGGAAAGAAAGAACCTGCAAAATCAAAAAAGGATTTGATTCTTGAAGCAAATCAGCGCAAAAAAAATGAAAAACAAATCGATTCCGAGAAACAAATGATCTCATATGCGTTAATGCAGGGCAATGATGTAAAAAATATTTTATTTACATAGTCGCCTTTTTAAATTGAAATAGATTAATTCAAGGTCTATTAAAATATTTATTTTCAGGCCGCATTTATTTTGGAAAAGCTCATGGGCAAACTTGAATTGGACCAATCTCGTGCACTTTGCACTTACGAATTAATCACTCGTCTTTCTCGTGATATTAATGCAATTGATGGCCCTGCTTTCATAGAGCAGCGTCGTAAGAAAGCTGTGCCTATAGTGCGAAAGCTAAAGGAGTTATTCACGTTATACTGGGATCATTTAGACACAATACAAAAAAAATTCGTAAAAATTTTAAATTAAAAATTTTTTTATATTTTTTAAAAATGGTGCACATGATTGTTTTTATTCATTTCATTCAGAAGAAATCGAAATTCCTCTTGAAAGTTATTTTATTTTCTAGTCATTTCCTTTTTGTAAGACTAGCTTTCCAGGTAACTGATCTGTGGAAGTCCCTAGGTTTTGACCTTACGGGAAAACCAGCAAATTATTCACAGGAACGACTTTCGTTGAATATAAATATGATATATTATCAGCTGCAATATGGAGGCGAATTGATAGATATTGAATCTGATCCACAAAAGGACGAACGAGTAACTGGTTTTAATCCTGATTACTGGCAAAGAAAAATGCTTGATGCTGTTGATAAAAGTAAAATTTTCTTTCGTTTAAAGCAATTTTTTTCCAGTGCCATTAATCCTTAGTATATTTAATCCATAATCCATAGTAATTAAACCTTTTGGAAGAACCAGATTATTTATTTTAATTTTCATTTCAATTTAAAATTCCTTTCTTCTTAAATCCCTTTCTCTTATGTATTTGAGCCTTTATTTTATAGATAATTCGGCTGTTATTATTGCGCCAACATCAGCAGGTAAAACGTTTGTTTCATATTATTGCATTGAGAAAATTTTGAGACAAAGCGACGATGATGTTGTTGTTTATTTATCTCCATCTAAAGCTCTTATAAATCAGGTGGGTCCATGATCACATCGTATATTGTATATTAATTGGAAATGGAGTTGGAACTATGGGCAAAATTTTTAGGTGTGTGGATCGGTATATGCGAGATTCCGTAACAAATCTTTAACTGGTGGTAAAACCTTATTTGGAACGCTGCAAAATAATTTTTATGAGAACCCATTGAATTGTCAGGTACTAGGTTCAGATTTCATGCTTAATAAATTTTTTGATTTTCGATTTCGATTTTATTTCGATTTTATTTTATATTAATCTCTCAATAATTTAGCAATTTTTTTAGAATAATTTAAAAATTTAGGTGCTAGTTACTGTACCCGAGCTTTTAGAAGATCTTCTATTATCAACTGATCCAGTTATACAAAGAGTTTGTGCTAGGATAAAGTATATCATATTTGATGAGGTTAATGTTTCATGGAATTTTAAAAAAAATTTGGTTTTTTTTTTTCGAATGGTTTTATATTCCAGTTATTATTATATAAAGATTTTCTTCTTTCTAGGTCCATTGTGTGAGCGCTTCACCTGAAGCTCATATTTGGGAACATTTGCTACTTTTATGTCGAAGTCCTTTCTTGGCTCTTTCTGCGACCATCGGAAACGCGAAACAGTTGCATGAGTGGTTAAGTGAAGTTGAACGTGATAAAACACCAAAAAATGTTCGACAGGTTCGAACGGATTTGCATTCTTTTAGCAAGTAGTCAGGAAATAGTCTGCACTTTTAAGTTTTTTTTGTGGTCGTTGTATTTTGTAATTTTGAAGATTCCAGGTCGAGTTAATCATATACGAAGAGCGATATTCTGAATTAGAACTTTATTTACAACGTATCGCACCGGTCGATCAAACAACTGTCGAGAACTATAATTCAATTGAACATTTTATGCCTTATGGTATTTATAAGCCGTTGAAATTATCGATGTTTGGAATACCAGCGGATCAACAGCTGACTGCGCGACAAATTCTCGAATTGTATCACGCTTTGTCTGAAGTTGATCCTGCTGTAAAGTGAGTTTCACAAACTCCTATTTTATAAAGATGTGCGTTTTCACTTTTTAAGTTGAATTTTAAAGATTCTTTATAAAGTAGGAGAAAATCTCAAACCTCTGTTTACAAACATCATGCCGTTTGCAGTTTGCTAATATTTTTCTTTTCAGAGAGAAGTTTGAACCATGTAAATTTTTCAATTATAAAGTAGGAGGTGAGAAAGTTTGGCTTACGCGTGCCAACATTAGGCTTTTGGAGAAAAGTTTAAAAAATGTTTTTTTGGATTGGTTAGAAAAGGACATTGATAAATTGAACAAAGTACTGCAAAATCTAAGTCACGAAATTAACGATGAATTGGACTATAGGAGTCGACCTTTCGCTAAGGTAGGTATTAGCACTCTTCTTAGTGCTTTTTCTTTTCTAGTTTGCTTGCTGCATTGTCTAATAGGATGAAATCCAGTCATTTGTGGATAGAAATATGGATAAAAAAAGTGCCGTCTGAATCAGCTTATTTTTCGTTTCATGCAAATTTGCAGCGAAACATTGCCCGAAAAACTATTGCACCACTAGTTCTTGAATTGCGTGATAAAGATCAATTGCCAGCCATTTGTTTTAATGATGATCGCAGAATATGTGAAGAAATGGCAATTTGTTTATTTCAATTTTTGGAAGAGAAGCAAAAGGAATATGAAGAAAGTGAAGAATATAGAACCAAATATGCGATAAAAGATGAAGAGGTCATTGTGCTTGTTTCGTTCTCTATTAATTAAATCCTTTTTTCTTAAATCCCTTCATCAAAGAGATTCAGATATAAAAAATGAAATGATTTTTAATATGCAAATTGATTATAGAAGTTATTGAAGTTTGCTCGGCGAAAACGTGATATTAATAAAAAGAAGAGAAAATTGAAAGGGAAAAAAAAAGAATTTGATTCGAATGACATCGATTCTGATCCAAGAGAAGATCTGGAAGAACTTCGTCTTGCAGGCGAAGATCAAGAAGATCTTTTAACCCAACAGAGGTTTCTGCGTGAACAAGCTCTTGAAAAGTACATACATCTATTGAATTATTAGAATTCGATTAAGTTTGTATTAGTTATTTCATTTTCTACGCATTTCAGAACCAAGTAATTCGGAAGAAATTTCAGATTCAGGCTTCGTGGACGCAACAGGGATGAAGATTTGTTCTTGAAAATGAAAAAACGTTTGCTTAAAGGTAAAGTTCGGGAAACTTCTCTTCTATTATTGAGACTGTTTGAGCGTGGTATAGGTTTTCATCACCAAGGCCTTAATACTCGTGAAAGAGGAGCCACCGAAATTCTATTCAGGTGAATTTATTCTTTATTCAAAATCCTTTTTTTAGTGGTCGATTGATAGTGTTTACACTAACATCTTTCTGATTATCCAAAGTGATATATTTCTATAATATTTCAGGTCTGGCTATTTGGGTATTATATTTTCGACGTCAACATTAGCACTTGGTATAAATACGCCATGTAAAACCGCTATATTTGGCATTGATACACCTCACCTAACTCCTTTGTTGTTCCGACAAATGTCAGGTCGTGCAGGTCGCAGAGGATATGATCATTCGGGAAACGTTGTTTTTATGTCAATACCGACTGCAAAGGTAAAAAGAACTTCAAACCATTTGAATGTTATTTATAAATTTTGATAGTTTTAAGCATGCTATTAATATTAAAATTAAAGCCTAAAGTTCTGAGTCATTAAAAATCTTTCACTTCAGCTTCGCCGATTGTTAACGGCAAGTTTATCAACATTGCGAGGTAATTTGCCTCTTACAACGTCATTTTTGCTTCGATTATTCATCTACGTTCATCAAAAGGAAGAAGAAGGTATTTCGATCTATCTATCTTTTGGTTCCAATTATTTTTTTAATCTGTAATTTTTAACCATTAATTTTTAAATTAATTTAATTTAAATTTTTTAGTCTTTAATATTTTTAATCTTTAATTAATTTTTAATTTTAATTTACTTTATTTATTGTTTTATTTTATATTTTATATATATTAAATGTGGTATTTATTGAATAATCTTGTTTTGAATTTATTATTTTATTTTCAGATATTATTAAACAAAGTGGTAATAAAAGAGTCACATTAGCATCTGAGCAAAGGCTTCGCGTATGTTTCTATTTTTTGAAATTTTGCTTTAACTTATCATTCCAATTTTTTATTATAGTTTCATTTTGATGAAAAAAATTTTGCAGATTGCGCTTACTTTTTTAAATCATTCATTTATTCTCTATACTCTACCAGAGAAAGCAGAGGCATTGAAACGACAGTTGAATTTGTTTGTATTATTCTCCGTTAATTTGCTGCGGCGACTTAGTTTGCTTAACAAAATGGTGTGATATTTATTCAGCTGTTTTGAGTATTAAAGTTAAATATGTGGTGTCTTTATTACTTTTATTCTTAACATTAGTAATATAGGTGAAGAAATAACGGCAATAGTTAGTTAACAAAAATTGCAAATTAATAGGAAAAATTAGTGACTGGAGTTATTTTTCTGAGAATATTTTTCCGATTGTAATTTAACAAATATTCACCACGATTTAATTAATAGTTTTAACGTTTTTCTAGCGTTTTTCCTCAATTGAATTTTTCTAATGTTTTTTGCAGTTGTTGTTATTCAGGGCGAACCAAACGGTCTTGCGCATATTGTTTGTCATTTATCAGCAAATGAACCTGGAAATTTGATATTTGCTCATCTACTGCAAAACGGCTTGTTTCACGAAATATGTAAAAATTATAAACATTCAAAACCACTGTTAAAATCGAAATTAATATTAATTTTGGCTCATATTTTTACCAAAAAGCGTCTTCCTATCAGTTGGAATCCAGATAAAAAAAAGTTACAAGAAAAAATTGGAGATGCTGAGGTTATTAAAAGTTTTCATAAATCAAGATTTTAGATAGCGTTATGAGTTATTTTTTTATTTTTCATATATTTATATTTTTCATCCTCTTTAATGAAACATTGATTTATCTGAACATTTTTTCGAATTGTCCGATATGAAAAAGTGAGATCAAACTCATTTTTTGAAACTTTTTGCCATTTGTTTTTCATATTTCAATATATTCAAGAATTTTTCATTTTCTCTTTTCAGGTATGTTTAACTCCAATGCCAGATGAATGCAGAAAATTTATTGAAGAATATAATGAAGAAGTGGAACAGTTGTTTAAAGCATTTATGCAATTGGTTGGAACGAAAGATTTTTCAGAGCTGCATGAAACAAGAAACTCGTTACAGGTACATTTTTTTACTTTTAAATTTTTTGTTATTTATTGTCTAGTGGTTGCTTTATTTTGTGGCTTCATTTTATTTCATTTATATCATTTTATTTCATTTAAGGGCAGTGTTTTCTCTCTAACGGGTAATTCTGATTCTTCGGTTTCATTATGTACTTCATATATAGTGCCTCCATATCATGAAGATTTATCAATTGATATGGGTCTCATTCCAGCTTGTCCTCTGAATCCAGTTGATCATCGCGGTAATAAGGTGATTATTTTAAGTCATGGTTTCATTCTTGTACTTATTTTTTTTCACATATTTACAACATGTCAGAAATTATTAAATTTTCTTGTTCGAATTTTTTCTCAACATCGCTTTCTCTTTTATCGTCAGATTTACTTCAATGCGTATGCCGCGGATTTTTGGATTCACAGATCAAAAGAAGGTTTAAAAACGATCAATTTCCTTACCGAAACCGATGCTTGGCATTTAATCCATGATTTCTCGGTTATTAATCTTTTTTTTCTTGAATTGATAAGGTTTGCTTGTTTATAGTAAGCAATAAATAATATCAAAATGAACATTTCGCTCACTGCTTGAAAATTTCAGGTGAATTTAAATAGAATCTCTGAGGCTTTGTTCACTGTCGGTCGTTCGAAAGATCCTTTTGTTGAAGTAATGAAAGAGCTATCCGAAGAATATGATCAAATTATGAAACAGGTGTTCGATATGAAGTAGTGATGAATTAATAATCTAGATGGTCACTATATTAAGAAATTGTCGTTCTGGTTCGTCACTGATAGCAAGATAGGAATTTTTAACATTTCATATTTTTTAGTATTTAGTAAATAATTTGCTTCAGATTTCTTTGAATCATTTTCAGATTTTTCTTTATACTGACCTCGATTTTTTAAACATCTCCTTTTTTTTGTTTTTCAGTTTTTGTTCGCTAATTCATTAAATAAATTTTTCGATTTTTTAACGAAATATTTATGGATTTCGTTTTTTCATCGGTTTCTTCTTTCATTTTTATTTAATTTTCTTTGTAGGTTCCTTCAATAAATAAAATATGTCAAATATCAGATTCCATTATTTGAAAGTAGAAAAATAATGTCTCGTTCACTGATTGTTAGATTGAAAAAAATTGAAAACATTTAAAGTATTTATTTATTTCTTTTAACGAAAGACATAAATAAGTCATAATGTCATTATGTCATTTAAATGAAAGTCATAATGTCATTTAAATGAAGCTTTGCTACTAGACGAAAATTGTTGCTTACCTAAAAATATTTTTATTTTAATTATACATATCGAAACTTATCAGTTTTTTTTGATTTTTGTTTCATTTGATTTTGGTTTATTACGAAAAATTGCTAATTCGTATGCGGTTTTGAAGTTTAATAAATTTTTTGAGAATATGCTATTTAATTTTCAAGTAGATAAATATGATGTTGTAAACGAAACAGAGAAATATGGTATTTAAAGGGAGTTCCATTAGCGCTCGTAATTTCTGGTTAGGTTGGATGCATCTACTTTAAATAAGTAATGATAAGTACGGGGTAAGCAACCACTTGGATACGAAATCGATGGTACCACTTACCATATCACCATTTCGGTCTTTCAGCGACACCGCCCCAGCAGGATGTCGTGTATGCATCTGCTGTTCAATGGTGGAATGCGAGGCCGCAAGCTGGATTGCAGAATGTAAATTGTCGGAGACTGCAGATTAGATCTGTGCAATTTCAGTGAATTACACGTGTTTCAGCGGATTGTAATTGGTTAATAAAGAAAAGGAAGTTTATTACTTTAGTTCGTTGCGGTGTCATTAATCATTGTGATAATTGATAATGTCGCGAAAGGAAATAGGAAAATTGAAGAAAATTATAAAATGATGAAATGGTTGGTGGGGGGAGGAAGCGGTGTTTGTGGCAATGAACGAGGAAAAAGCTGAATGAGCTTATTTCTTATTATTTAATAATAAACGAAGCGTCCTTAATTTAACAGTTAAATGTCCCTTCACCTGGAGCCACCGCAGACACTGAAAGCAAGCAGACGAGAAGTGGCGAATGCTAGAAGAATGAGGAAAGAAATGCTAAGTAGAAACGGTTTTTGCTTATCGACGTCTTTATCTTACCGGTTTTGTTTCAACGATGCTTTTTTACGCGAGTAAGAGTTCTCGGTTTGTTTTTTATTTAACGAAATATACGGCTTTCGATTCCCCCAGTTGGGATTTTTATTATATTTTTCTTCTATTAAAGTATTTTTTAAATCGCAATTTTAGGTTTTGAGAACGAGAAAGGATTATTTTTTCGCGAATCCCAATGCGAATGTTTATTCGAAATTGTCGTTCTTTAAACAAGTTGAATGCAGTGCGAAACGACAGATTCACTTGGAAGAGTTTTGGAAAATTATTTGCGTGGTCGTTGCTACGGCGCATTGTGTATATTTACAGTGCAGCACATGTTGTTGGGAAACACGTCGGTGAGCTGATTGTTTGTGTTGGTCCATCGATGTATCCAACAATCCATAATAAAGACTTGGTAAGGAATGAATTTCCTCGCAGAAAAAATTTTAGAACAAATAAAAATTGCTGTGAGTTGTTTGGTCGGGAGGCTTATTGTGTCGATGGGCTCACGAAATGCCCATATATGTCGTTTTTTTCTCATTTCCTTTTGATCATTCTTCCTTCTCCTTCTTTCCTTCTTCATTTCTCATCGTTCTACTTCTTCTATTGATGAGGTTTTTGTTATTTGCTATCGCTTTAGCGTTTTTTCACCAATATTTTACAATAACTATTTTTCATTTGTTTCCCTTTTTCAGTTTTGCAATCTCAGACTTTTGGGTTTTTTTCTTGGGCCATAAGTAAATAGGTTATTGTGAATCATATTAATTCACTAATGGTGCAAAAAAATTAGTGGAATTTAGAATTGAAAGAAAATAGAGTGTTTGCGAATTTGAAGATTAGCAGAAAGGTACAATAAAAAGATTTTTTGCGATTTCTTATAACTAGCGTTTAGTTCTATGGAATTCGAATTATTGAATTCCATGTTAATTAATTGAATTTTAATTGAATTAATTGAATTTTCTTACATATCTGTTTTAAAATCATTATTGTTATTTATAAAATATTTCAAATGATAAACGCCAAATCACATTTATTTTTCGAAATTCCAAATTTCTTAAAGAAATTGATGACAACTGATATGCATTATCTTATTTAATTTATGAAAATTAAACAATTTATTAATAAAAAAATTTATTAATTAATTTATTTTGTTATCTTTTGGACGGAATATATAAGAAGGTAAAAAATATTTTAGATATTCGGTGAACGATTAAGTATTTCTCGTGGCAGACTCAAACGAGGCGATATTATAGGTTTTCTTGATCCGTACGAACCTCGTCAGTTGCTTTGTAAACGTATAACTGGTATGGAATATGATGAACTTTTAATTCCTAGTGATTTTCCAATAAATATCCCTAAAGGACATATTTTTGTGGAAGGCGATAATTCATTATTTTCAACAGATTCGCGAACATTTGGGCCTGTTCCGGAAGGTCTTGTTCAAATGCGCCTTTTCTTTCGAATTTGGCCTCTGAGTCGTGCTGGCTTGTTGTAATTAAGATTTTATTCGAAATTCGAATATCGTTGAATTTAACTTTAAATTATTTCAAATAATTTTTGCCTTAAATCGCTTCTTAATTTAGTTTAAGTATTGAGATTCGCTATACATTTTTTTAATTTTTATGTTCGAATCTTATGCTTATACGGATTTTATAGTTGATATTTATATTTATATTAGCTTTAATACTTGCTTTTATGTGAAATGTCTTTGGAGATAGTTCATAGAAACTTATGATTTGTCTGAAAATGTTACAAATAAAGGAAAAAACATATTATGGGCATATTGCTTCTTTTCGATCCAAATTCATGCTTCTCATAACGTTCATTTTCATTCACTGTAATTTCAGTTAGCAAATTTCAGCTTTTCTTCGAAATTTTTTTTATATGTAGATTTTATTCAAAATATTTTAAATTTTTTATATTTTGTGTTGCGGGTGACAGTTATGAAAATTTTGTTCGGAATAAAATTTATTAAATTTTCTTTGTTTTTTGAATTTTCTATATTTTCTTCATTTTGTCGAATGCAATACATATTTCATATGATCATATTTTTTCATTTTTTCATGTTTTGCTGCTTAATTTGCATAATTATTCTCGAGAAGAACTATTTTAAAAATTGTTCGATAATAATTTCGTTTCAGTTATTTTATTATTTATTGATTAATTTTATTGTAAGAATTCTCTTTTTTCGAAAATATCTCGAATTTGTTGTAAATTAGTAGAATTACATTCAATGAAAAGTTTTGAAACATTTTTGAAAATAATTTTTAATAATCATTCTTGCAATTTATCGCAAAGTTTTCTTTCCGAACATGAAAATTTTTAAGATCTTTGCTGTTAAATATTAAAATGGCTGTGAATGGTTTGTATATTGTGCAAGGCGAATCGAACGCAGTAGCTGCGTTATTGAAAAAGATTTATCGTGGTTGGGCACACCAATCGCAAATCCATCTCGGTCATTCAAATTGGGATGAATCGGATCCGCTGTTGAGGAATTTTACGGATTTAAGAGATGTATTAAACTCTGTGAGTATTTTCTCATTTTAATCACTTTTAATGATTGTTGTAAATTTTCTGCTTTTTTTAATTTTCTTTTTCATCTGCTTTTCGCTTTGAGGTAAACGAATTATGTGATATGAATCCGGATACTTTTTTGAGTCCTTTCTTGGATGTTATTCGATCTGAACAAACAAATGGACCAGTAACTGCGCAAGCTCTTTCATCAGTAGCTAAATTCTTAAGTTATGGACTTATTGATAGCACTAGGTTCGATTTTTATCTCATTTTTTTGATTGAAACTTCAATATCGATTTTATTTTTTTATCTTTCATTTTTTAAAATAAATTCCTTCTTCTTCTAATAGCTCTCACCATTATTGGCTTCAACGTCTACCGCTTCCAAGCGGCGCGGTCTGATGCCATCGTCTATAGTAATAGAAACCATTCATTTTTCCATCGTCTAATTCCATATATTGCTAGTCCATCTATACGTTCAAAATCTTTTCTAATTGTAGTCCAGATCTTGATTGGCCCACAATCTCAGGCCATCCATTAAGCGAAAGTAACGAAATATTCGTCAACTGCTGTGGTGGAGACGACGGAAAACGTGCCCTAACCAACGACGATCTACGATAACGTTATTAATGCAAGTGGTATTTGAATGAAGGTGGATGCGATAATGATATTTTATCCGCTCGACGAACCTGTAAATTGTACCTTAGACAAGAGTGGTCAAAGGCAGATAACTTCTTAATATCCTCCACTCTCATTGGCCATTTCTTAGAGCCATATAGCAAGATCGAACGAATCGAGGCTATATAGATGTGGACTTTCGTTTTTATGGTGATTTTACGACATCTTTATAAAGGTTTCGTCAACCGGAAGAAAGAATTTCTAGCTACCGTGATCCGGACTGTAATATCGTCTTCTGGCTGGCCATTTGGTATTAAAGTGGACCCAAGGTTTAAAATCAAGCATTTCTTCGACCGGCAATGAATTTACAAAAAAAGCAGCTTCTTGTTCTTTTATCAGCTTCTTGCACATAAGACGAAAAGTCTTTCATTTTGATCCTGAGTCCTATTCTTGAATCCAGTTTTTGACACGTTATTTAGCATTATTTCGTCATAACTATCAGCAAAAAAAACTGCATCATCAGCGTATTCGAGGTCTCTGATACGATGCTCTGGTTTGATTTGGTCACCCTTTGAATGCCGACAAGTGGTGTCCATTATTCAGTCTATCGCATATTTGAATATTATAGGGGAAAGAACGCAGCCCCTGAACGGACACCTGTTCTTATTTTGAAAGAATCAGCTTCCCATATACACAGACCTGTGCCGACGTGCGCTCATAAAATGCCTTTATGAGTCGAATGATCTTCTCTGGAACACCGTCACGTTCCATCATCCTCCAAAGCGCCTTTCTATCAATTGAATCAAAGGCAGCCGCAAACCGATGAAACACATGACAGTGGGCTGCAAATATATCTGAAACGATTTTCCTACACCCTTCTTAACGTATCTGGTTAGCACAACCGCGCCCCGGTCTGAATCCAGCTTGATTAGGGCGCATCCTAGTGTTTCGTACTTCCATAAGCCTGTTGAGTAAAAAAGAAGTAAAAATTTTCGCTGAGGCGTCTATCTAAATAAATTTCGATCAATCATTATTATTTATATTTTGAATTTTATTCTAATATCCGTGAGATATTTCAGTTTAAAAGCATCTCAAGCTGTTGAAAATATTGCTGAAGCAGTCACTCATGCTAAATTTGTTGGTAGTTCAGATACTGGCAGTGATGAAGTAGTTTTGTTGAAAATTTTACAGGTCGTTATTCTTCGTATAGTTAATGAGATATCCAACATTTTCCACAAGATTTTAATTTTACGCTAAAAATTTTGGCAACATAGCTTAATATCATTTTATTTCATTTTCATTTAGCTTTTCATTTTTTTATTTTTTTATTTTATATCAGGTACTACGAACATTATTGTTGACTCCTGTTGGCAGATTACTATCTAATGAAAGTGTATGTGAAATGATGCAAAGTTGTTTTCGTATTTGCTTTGAGGGATCCTTAAGCGAACTGCTTCGTAAAATTGCTGAATCAACTTTAGCGGATATGACGCAGTTATTGTTTACTCGCCTTCCAACATTCGATGAAGACACTCGTCATCCTTATATCAGAAAATTAGTTCGTTCTTATTCATTTCTATTGCAGTTTTTTCTTTATTTCCTTTTGAAAGCGAATTTATTTAAAATTCCAGTTGGATGAAGTCTTATTCTTACAAGATAATGATGCGAGAATGATTACGAGTGTTAGAAAATTGGTCGTTATTGTTAGAAAATAGGCAAATTACTAGAATATATTCTTCTTGGTGTTTTCTTTTTTCGCTTTTTTTTGTTATTTCAAATTTCTCAACGTTTTAAATGAACATAGCGCGAAAATAAAGCAAAATTTTCCATTTCTGTTATTTTCCGAAAGGGATTTTCGATTTAAGAAAAATTTTAATTTTAAATATTATTTGTGAGGAGTTGTGGAAAAGGATTTATGATTTATTTATGATTTATGATTTATTTTTGCTGTTAAAAGAAAGCTATGAAAGTGGTGCTAATTTGTAGGTAAAACGTGCTGGTATTAACAAAAGAAAGCGACGCAAGTTTATTGCAGCAAAAAATGCAGTTAGACCTAGTCCTCTTAGCGATAGTATTGATAGCATTTTGGATAGCAAGGCAGAAGTATGTTTCTATATATATATATACATATTTTTTTTTTAAATTTATTTTTTTTTATATGAGTAAATTCAGATTAACGAATCGCCATTAATCGTTCCGGAAATTGCTTCGATAGAAAATGAAACAAAAGTCGATATTTTACCGTCTTCTTTTATTGATCTGTCCAAAGAACGAAGTGCTGAGAATATTTTTCCTGAAAATATAATTGAAGATGGCAATGTGGTGATAGCTTCTGCTGAAGGTAATGTAAATCAGCAATGATGATAATGATTTTCCTCTTGCCGCTGAAATATTCTATTCTCTTTACATTTACTTTTTGATTCTTTTTTATCGGTTCGAAATTTGACTTTTAGGACTTCGAAAAATTGCGGAAATTATGTTTAATTTGAATCAATTTTTTTGTTATTTTTTGCTATTTCAGCGTATGAAATTTCGTCGGTTCCATATAATCATGCAAAAAATATCCATACAAAAATCACAGAGGTTCATGGTTCTAATGGTTCCCAAATGTCGGCATCTGAGGAACTGGATGATGGTGTTGTTCCAGACAATGATGAAGTTTGTTTTATAGCTTATTGGCTTTATTTCATGGTATTGATATCAATATTATCAATATATCAATATTTCGATTACGACGCTAAATTATCAAGGTTCTATTTTAAAAAATCGGCATATTTAATTATTTTCTCTCTATATTCAATAATTCCTATGGCATATTTAGAGTTCGAATTCTGAAAAAGATTCATCGAATGCTATAACACCTCAGCGGCAAAGAATTAATGATAGAGGAGTTCGTTTCACACCTGAGCTTCACAAAGTAAAAAAAAATTTTTCGAAATTAGATTATTACTGTTCTTTTTTAAATATTGGAAATATTCTGGAATTAAGGATGCTCCATCTGCTTTGCGACGTGGTGTTGTTTCCGAACCAGTTATCATAAAGCCGACGTCACATATACCTTATGGCCTTCCATGCGCTCGTGAATTATTGAGGTTCTGTTATTGGTGAAAATTCTGATATATTAAATTTTGATATGTTAAGTTAAGTTAAGTAAAAGCGATTAATAAAAAGTAAAATTTACTTTAAAGTGATATGATAATTAATGTTCCCTTATTCCTTCTTTTGAATTTTTTACTTTTTTGCATTTCATCATCTTATATTTTTTTTCATTTCCATGATTTTCGAGATAATATGGTTATAGGTTTTTGATAGCACTAATAAATCCACTAGATCGTGCCAATAATGAAGCCATGATAGTGATGGGTCTTAATTTGCTAACTGTTGCTATGGAAGCTGGAGCCGATCATTTACATAATTATAATTTACTTATGCCTCTTGTGAAAAATGAATTATGTCGTGCATTACTTCAGGTTTCCACCATTTTATTTACAAATAATTTTATTTTTATGATAAAACTAATCTTGATTTCATGTTTCATAAATATTGTATTATGTTCTTCTATACAAAAAATTCATGTTTAGCTACTGGATACTGAAAAACTACCAGTATTCGCTGCTGCAAATCGTGTATGCTTTCTTCTTTTTGAATCATTACGAACTGGGTTGAAATTTCAGATGGAATCTTATTTCATTAAGTTGAAATCAATCGTTACTAGTGAACAAGTTAGTTTTTTGTGTTAGGTTTCTCTTAAATCTTTTTTTCATCAAGTCCCTTTTCTCTTTTTAGATTTTCAAATTTTCATAGTTCCTTATATTATTCTTGCATATCAAAAGAAAATCTTTTCTTGCCTTGTAATGAATTTTTTGGTTTTGGTAATGAATAATAGTTTTTTTATCTTGCATCTGTTAGTTGATTAAAAATTAAAATTAATTTAGAGTCGAATAAGTTATGAATTAAAAGAAATGGCACTTGAAAGCATCGTCGAGCTGTGGCGTATTCCTGGATTAGTCACGGAATTATATTTTAATTATGATTGTGATTTGTACTGTTCTAATCTCTTTGAAGGTCTAACAAAGGTAATAGAGAGATTTATTTTAAATTCCGCCAATGCTTGGCAAATTGTAGGCAAATCTGACTCGAATAATTTATCTAAAATTGTGGTTAATGCCACTTAGTAATGATTCTGTACTAAAGTTTTATTAATCTTCAGTTACTACTAGAGAATGCTTTTCCCGTATTGGGATTGCGATCTATTCATATTTTATCGTTGGACGCATTGCTTACTGTTATAGATACAGTTGATGTTAACTGTGTATATAGACAGTCTGGAGGTGATTCCCAACGTCATATTTCATATGGGTATTTTATATGTATATACATATATATATTATTTTCTGTCAGTAATTTTTAATAGATTTGTAATTATGTTTTGTCTGATTTATCTGATTTAGGCAATTGTGCAATCAGTTAAATCTTCCTGTGATTAGTGGATTTTCATTTGGCAGGCAACTGGACATAATGAAAAAGGAAAAGTCAGATGATATTGGTACGGGAACTAAAAGTTATTAAATGAGTTTTTATAATCATAGTTTCAAACCTCATTATTTTCTTTATTTTTTTTCGTCAGTTTGTTAATTTTTAATTTTTTTGTTATAGATGAACTGAATGCGGATCAGACATATGCACTTAAAGAGTCGCTTCTGCCATCTTCAGCTGTTCGTGCAAATCGTATGGCTCCTTCTCATAATATACCTTCACTTACAGAAGTTATTGAAAGGAAAAGGAAAAAGCGCATTATAACGGAAGCTACTGAATTTTTCAACCAAGATCCTAAAAAAGGTATTTAACTTCGTGAAATTTATCTTTTTCATACATTGAATTCAATTTTATAAAAAAAGTGTTTGGTGATTTTCACTAATTAATAGTTTAGTATGTAATTCAGGTATCGAATTTTTGAAAGATAAGGGTATATTAAAAGTCCCAGTTGATCCAAAGGATGTTGTTTTATGGTTACGTGAAAATCCACATTTGGATAAAAAACGTATCGCTGATTATATTTGCAAGTAAGTTATCTATATGATTTAGAATAAATTTAAATATTAATGGCTTTTTTAAATTGATATTTCTGTGCTGTCGAAATTTTAGTCGAAAAAATTTGGCAGTATTGGATACATTTGTTCAATCATTTCCATTCGAAGGTACTCGACTGGATGATGCATTGCGAATGTTCTTGGAAACGTTTCGTTTACCTGGTGAAGCAGCTGAAATATCAATGGTCATGCAGCATTTTGCAGGTGATCTCCTCAGATTTACTCATGTGGAATTATTTTGGAGTGAAAATTATTTAAATGCATAAATAATAATAATCCTGTTTTTTTTTTCAAATAATTCTTTATAAATGCATATTTCTTTCATTAATTTAAGATCATTGGTACAAGGCGAATAATGAACCTTTTAATCATGTTGATGCTGCATTTACCCTAGCATATGCTGTGATAATGTTGAACACTGATCAGCATAACCCACAGGTTACTTTTTCTCAATAAAAGCCGCATAAATTTCCGATCGAATAATAGCCCTATTTTATTTCACATTTTTTGTTTTTATATTATTATATTATTTTTATATTATTATTTTTCTTTTTTATGCCCATTTCTAGGTTCGTCGCAATCAACCTCCAATGCAGCTTGAATGTTTTAAAAGAAATTTGTCGGGTACGAACGGTGGTCAAGATTTTGATCCTCAAATGTTGGAGCAAATGTTCAATGCTATAAGGTTTTTTTGTTCTTCTAGCAGTTTTCACTAATTACTAATTAGACTTGCTCTGCTTTGACTGCTAGGATAAGGTGTTTTCATGCCACTCGATCTGTTATCACGTCTTTTTATTGCAAATGCCGATGCATTCTCTAGCATCTCTTGCATAACTGCAAAAAGGTCTATTTCATTAGCGTATTCAAAATCTCATACTGAGCGATGTCTATAACTCAGTCGTAGTTGAATATTTTAGGGAAAAGGACGTATCTTTAGCGGCCGGTTCTTATCTCGAAAGAATCTGTTAGTTCCCCATATATATTCTGTGCCGATATGGTGTTAAAATACCTTTATGAGTCGAATGAGTTTTTTCTAGAATACTGGCGTACTCCCTACAGATTGTTGTTATATCAATGAAACACTTGTGTTGATGAATCAATATTTCACCATCTTCTTAGTTTGAATATTTGGTCCAGGTATCGATCCATATTTAGCTTTTCCAGGTCAGGTTCATCCTGCTTACCATAGGTCAGCAGGAGAGAAAATTTTTCCAGAGATGTCTAGTAGGGTAATTCTTTATCCTTTTTGGAGGTTGGATTGCGTAGCTTCAATCATCTGTTTATTAGTTAATTCTTCCATATTAAAGAAAATCCGTTAAAGATAAATTGTGAAGAGTGGTGGACAAAATTTGAAGATTCAGCTCGAAGACCGCCTTTTCTAGAAGCCTCATTAGCTTAAAGCTTCTGAATGACGGAGATTATTTATTTTTTGCTCTGTTGGCAGTAAGCTTGTGATTAGCGAGTGTTTCTGTGGGGAAAAAATAGATGATTTGTCGTTAAGTAGTTTATCTCAGTTCTCAAATTTTCTCCATCTTAAAAGACCTTTGATAACCTTAAAGGGACATCATTGTTATCCCGGATCATTTCAATGGTTATTTCCTGAGTTTATGAAAAAGGCAGAATAATTTCCTATTATTTCCTACTATTGCCTACTCGAACGGCCGTCCGCCAGATAACTCATGCTGTTGCAAATCTTCGATGCTTTCGGTATCGTGTATTTCCTGACATTCATGAATCCTGACATTTGGCAAAAATAAAATTTTAAAATTAGAAGTTTTTTAACATTTTTTTTCTTTTTATAATTATTGAAAAATTCTTCATAAATGATTTCATAATTCTTCATAAATATTTCATAAATGAAATATTTTCAGGAACGAAGAAATTGTTATGCCTGCTGAACAAGTTGGACTTGTAAAAGAAAATTATTTATGGAAGGTAATTTATTAATTTTAATTGGAATTTGCTTTTATTTTAGGCGGTAATATTTGTAGTTTGGTTTGGTTGATATGATATTTTTGATTTAGGTCACATTAAAAAGATTTTATTTTTGACGGTATTAATTTCCATTTTTCTTTTTGATTTTTGTTTTTTATTGTAAATTTTTCCTGTTTATGGACCATTTTCAAGGTTTTACTTCGGCGAGGTGAAACAAAAGAAGGTGTATTCATTCATATCCCTGCTGGATGGAACGATCAAGATTTGTTTAGCATAATATGGGGACCAACTAGCGCTGCTTTATCATTCGTTTTTGATAAAACTGAATGCGAATCCACTTTACAGGTTAGTCTTTCATTTTTATAGTCCTTTAGGATAGTTTTTCAGGTAATTCAGGTAAATTTTGAACGAAGAGATTATATATTTCCAGTTATCTAAACTTATGCTTGGTAAATTTATAATGGGTGCTTACATTTCTATATTATTAATATATTTTGTTCTGTTTCATTTTATGAATAATAGTCATTTTTCAGAAATCTCTTAATGGGTATAGGAAATGCGCTTCAATTGCAGCTCATTATGGCATGAGCGATGTATTTGATAACCTGATAATTCATTTATGTAAATTTTCTACTCTGATGCCTTCAGTCGAAGGTGTTGTTTAGTCTTTTTATTATATTTACTGCAGTAACGATGGTAAATTAAAATTTATTTCTGTTTAAGGAAGTGGTGAGCGAACTATAGAACCGCAGTATTCTTTAAAAGTACAAGTTCCAAGTGCTGAACAAATAGCAATTACTTTTGGTCAAAATGTTAAAGCACAAATGGCAACGAAAGCAATGTTCCAGCTCGTGCATACTCATGGAGATATCTTAAGAGAGGTGAATCACGACCAAATTCTTTTTCGAATTTCTTTTGTTTCAAATTTTTTTTGAAACAAGATATTTCACTTTCCATCCAATCAGCAATGCTAAAGATAAATTAAAAGAACGAATTTTTTCCGATTATTTTTCAGATAAGATTTCGTGAATATTTTATAGGGTTGGAAAAATGTGCTTGACTGCATTTTATGCCTATTCCGCGCTCATCTTTTGCCAAAATCATTAATAGAAGTGGAAGATTTCGTTGATTATAAGGGTTGGGTATCAATACAACGAACTTATATTTCGTATGTTTCATTTTAATTACTGGTGCCCAAATTTTTGCAAATTTGTAAATTTCTAGGTTAAATCCAAGAAATGTACTTATTTTAAATATAAGGTTAAATAGGCAGTTATCCAATTTGGACAGTATTGGCTCTAAAACGCTCTAAAAATGATTTTTATTGTAGTAAACTGCCTGCAATGAGAAGCGAGTCGGGGCTTTTGAGCTGGTTTGGCCTTGGTGGTTCAAATTACGATGCTAAAGATCAGAAACCAACGCCAGATCAAGAAAATTTTATAAAAGTAAATTCAACATTTTACTAGAAGTGAAAATTAGGTAAATTACTCTTCTCTCTCTCGAAATTATTCTCGAAATTATTGTTTAATTTAATTTGGAGGTTGCGCGAGCAGTTATCAGTGACTGCCATCCTGAACAGTTGGTAGATGATAGCAAATATTTAACATCTTCAGCCCTTACTGAATTTATTAATGCAATCGTACAAGCCTCACCAGGTATACTGATTCAGTCAGAAGCTTCCAAGCCTAACCAATCTTTCAAAAAACTTCGCGAACAGGTAAATTTTCATAATTTTTCACGAACCTACCTTTAAGTGTGGGTAATGTCAAAAAAAATTTCTATGAATACACCATGGGCATATACATATACAGATTGAATTTCATTGTTGCCTGGAGAATTCATCGTTTAAGGATGAAGATGCTCTCGTATTATATTTGGAATTGGCTGTGAGTATAGCTCTGGAAAACAAGGATCGATTATCTCAAATATGGCCCTTAATAATTCGCCATATCCAGTGGCTTATGTCAAAATTTGGTCGCAATCCTTTGATCGTGGAAAGAGCAGTTACAGGTTTATTGAGGCTGGCGAATAGAAATCTATTTCGACTAAAGGATGATATCGCGGATGAAGTGTTACAATCGCTTAACATGCTTCTTGTAAGAATTTTTACCAGTTTCCGTTTTAAATATCTCTTTCAATATATATCGTTTGGTAATGCGTTTAGATGGCGAACTTCTGAATATAATTTTTACTTTAGCAACTGCCACCACCTGCAATGTTCATGTTTTCTCGGCATATTGCATTTGGATTGCATGAACTATTGCGAACAAATGCAGCAAATGTTCACCGTCGTGATCACTGGGCAATTCTGTTCGGGCTTCTTGAAGCAGCTGGCGCAGGAGCATATCCGGATCAACTGGCACCTATAAATGATGTTTGTTTGCTTCTTTTTTGTTTTCATCTTTTATTTATTTTTATGTAGTTCAATTTCAGGAAAATATTAAATGTGCTAAATCTAACAGTCGACATGCTTATAGCGATACAGAACCATCAATTAATCGTTCGGTTATTTTAGCAGATGATGCTTCATCCAGCCGAATGGAAGATCGTGGATACACATCAGATAATCCTCAAAGTCATTTAAGTATAATTCACTAAATTTTTTTCCCTTTTTAACATTTTTTTACAAATTATATTTTAATTTACATAAGAATTATTCTATCTATTGAATTTCTATTGAATTATTCTGCATAGTTAATCAAACTTTTTCTTTATGTCTGGATGGTTCGATTAGGTCTGATTTTGTTGATTCTGCTTTATCGTTAACAAAAACACCTAGTTCCGAATGGATTCAATTAGATCATAAAGATGGTAAAGTCGCCTTCTTTCGTTATTCTTTTTTTTCAAACCTTACAATCCTTCAAATTTTTTCTCTTCCCAAAATGCTCAATAGCATTGCTGATTAACGTTTTTTATCTAAATAGAATTTCTGATCATTAAAATGGAATATGGCTCGTGAAATTTTTTGATTTGTTACCTTAAACAATTTTTAAATTGAATTGAATTGAAATTCTTCGATAAATAATTATCAAAGAAATTTACTACGATGTAATTAATAATTAATATAAATAAATAATTAAATAATTACTACAAAATTTTTGCAAAAAAAAAAAGTGCGGTGACTTTCTCTTGTAATATAATTTTTTTTTCAGTTGCAGTTGCTCAGCAACAATTACTACAACAATTACATGCAGATAAATCACCATCAGTTCTGCCACGCTTTGATCGAGGTACAGTTGTATTACATTCGGATTTAGCAAGGTAAATATTCTTATTAATATTCTTTACAAAAATTATTCAAAAATTAAAATTATTTAAGTTTTTTATATGGTCAAAGGTCATAAGAAATTTTTTTTCCAATTTTTTTCGTTTACTTCTAATTTTCTATTTGTTTTTTAATGCCATCATATATATATTTAACTGTGTTAATGGAAGATTTTTCAGGCATGAACCAGCAGCATTTTTGAAAGTTGGCGAGACTCTAGCTTTTCTGATCCGTGATGCAGCTCATATTACTCCTGAGAATTTTGATTCATGCGTGAAATGCCTCAGGTCATATGTGGAGGCAGGTTTAGATGGTGGAAGGTATTTTCTTTTCATTATCACTTTTAATGGTATAGATACACTATTCATATTTTAAAATTTTTGAGGTTTGCTTCAAATTTTTTTATATTTAGTAGTGGGAGAAATGAAAATAAAAAATTATGTTCTTCAAAGTCGCTGTTTTTAAATACGTTTTTCGAAATATAAATATTTTATTTTTTTTGTGTTATTTAATTATTTTTTTGATTTATTTCCCATTCATATTTTTGAAGCATTTATATTTGCGAGTTTTTTTTATTGAACAAAAATCATGTGCAAGATAAGAGTCAACTCAATTTTAAGTCAATCTACTGAGCACAAATATAAAACCTGATATAGCAAGTTCAAGAAGCGTTCTCATTGATTTACATTTAAAATATATAATTAATTTTCGGTAAACACTTAAATTTTTTTAAATGTACTTTTTTTAACTGTAATATTTTTTAATAAAATATCTTTTATGACTTATAATCATTGTACTAACATATAATGTTCAAAAATATTTTTATTTTTTAATTGACGAAAAAACGAAATTATATTTTCTTTATTTCCACTTACTTTTATCTTTTATATAGATATGCCTCTGGTCCACTAAGTGGCGATGCTCAAAATCAATTGCATAGTATAGTAGCAGATGATAAAATTAAACATAATAAACAAGGTAAGTTTTATGATTCTATTACCTTCTTATTCGTCTTTTCAATGTTTTTATTTTTTTCTATTTTATTCTATTTTATGAGCGCTTAATGATAAAAAAATATGTTTCAGTAAAACAAATATCTCGTAAAAAGGTTAAAATTACATCCGTTGTAACTAATGAAGATGAGATTGAGAATGAAGATTTTACTGTTGCAGAGCCACAACAACTTAGTGCCAGTTATCAGCAAGTATTATCCATTTTATTTATTCATTTTATAAGGTTTTTATCGTCCATTTTTTTGTCGTTTGCAAACTTAATTTTTTTCCTAAGGTTTTTTCAGATCTCTTTTCAAATGCTTGATTTATGTCACACTTTACATATGAAGGCAGCTGATATCTATGGAAGTTGGGCTAGGGGTGGAGCTGAGGTATTATTATCATTTTTAGGTTGTAAGAAAATAAACTTTTTATATGAAATAAATATTAAATATTTAATATTAAATATTTATAAATATTTAAATGTTTATTAAATGTTCTAAATATATTGAATATTTAAATATATAAATATATTAAAAATATTAAATATTTATCTTTCTATTTCTGTGGAATTATAGGTCGATGCAACTCCAGCGGCATTATGGGCTCGATGTTGGCGGCCACTCTTACAGTGTATCGCACGCTTATGTTGTGATTGTCGGCGTCAAATCCGTACACAGGCTTTGAATTATTTGGTGGTGAGAATTCATCTACAGTTTTTTTGCTTTTTTTGTTCTTTTTTTAAGTTAGAAGTTAATAATTTCTATGTGATATGTTTTTTTTTGCTTTTCAGAGATCATTTCTTATCTCGGAAATGCAAAATATGGAAGCTTCTGAGTGGGAAAATTGTTTTGGTGAAGTACTTTTCCCACTTGTTAGCAAACTTTTGGATAATTTGTCACCAATGGATCCACTAGGAATGGAAGAAACTCGCGTCAGAGCCATGCAGCTGATATCAAAAATTTTTTTGAATCATTTAACGTAAAAAATTTTTTGATCGCAAGAAATTATGAATAATTAATAATTAGTACATAACTTTGTGAATTTCTTTAGTAATTTGAAAAGCTTATAATTTGAATTTGAAAAGTTTCTGGATTCGAAATAATTCATTTTTAGACCTCTCAGCAAATTACCTTCTTTTTCTGTTTTGTGGTTGAGGCTGTTGGACTTCATGGATCGATATCTACATACAGATAGAAGCGATCTATTGTCAGAGGCCATTCCGGAATCATTAAAGAATATGATATTAGTTCTCGACAACACCAAGATGTTTGAGATGATACCTTGCCTTTATGAAATGACGAAGGCACGTCTTGGAACTTTGCTGCCGGAATTATTGGCAGAAACCATGCCTAAGCCACCAACATCCGAGTAATTTTTATTCCGAAATAAGCAAATTAAATAAGTTTCTATATCTTTTAAATAAATTAGGTTATATCGAATTTTAAGGCAGCTGTTACCTGATGTTTCGAGTAACGATGAATCGATTAGAACATCTAAGATTACTTCACCGTCATCTGATGTAACAAATAGCTGTTCGACAAGTACATCAATCCATTGCTCTTCTAAAACCAGCAGTTCCGCTTCTAATCTTACCACTCATTTCAACTCAGTTATAAATCCAAACGTTCAAATTGCACCTCCACTTGATCCTTTTATTACCATAGAGGAATCGAATGATACAAATTTACGAAAAATAAATGAATTTTATGAACAAGCAGAATTGGTTTGCTAATCTAATTATTTTAGAAAAATAATTGTTTTTTTCGAGAGTTAAATTAATTTTATTCCCCTTGATTTTAATATTACGAAAAAATAAAAAAATATTAGTCTTTTGATCAAATATCTGTAGTTCTTTAATCGAATTTGTAGGAAGGGATCATTGTACATTCTGGTACCACTTCACCGATTGATAATCGATTGATTCAAACTATTGCGTCTTCAGCATCTCAAGCCATCAATCAGCAATTAAATACCAACATATCTTCAGAATATCAATCAAAAACTGTCAATTCTTTGGTGCATTACTCCCACAGTCATATGCATGTACAAGCGCCACCGCACTTAGAATATTATCAACTTCAGAATTCCTTGGTATATTTTCAATAATTTAAATCATCTTTATTAATCTGTTGACTAAAGTTATAAAGTTTTTTAAGGTGGTATCGACTGTATCATCTATCCCTGCTCAAAAACCCATATCCATAATTTCTTCACCATCCAGTGCTTTCTCAGTTCCTACTGAATTACAAGAGGTCGCTGATGTGCCATTCAGTTCTGGTAGTATCGTGGGAAATTCTAAGGTTTGCTGGTCAATTCTCAAATTTTTTAATATTTATTTAAAATGAAGATTCTCTAAAAATGCAAAAAAAAGTTTGAATCTTAAAAAATTTGGATCTCTTTGGTGCAATATAAGTTTTGCACTGAGGAGCGTGTGCTTTCACAAACCATTCGAAGCAATATATAGATTTTTTCGACAACTTTTTTGAATTATTTTCAGCAGTCGTGACCATAGCAAAGCAGAAAAGGATGTGGCACATTCGCAGTCTTCTAAGGAATCTAGTTTTTTTGCATTTAACGAAAATAAATAAAATAACAATGATAATATAAATTTTTTTTCAATGTTTTTCGTTTTTGGTGGTTCGGAATATTTTTTAAAAAAATTTGTCTATAAAATTCATTCTGGGTTCTTCATTTGAGATTGCTTTCATTTCCATTATCTATAGCTTACCAAAGAGTTGGTTCATTTTTTTGCTATTTTTATTACCTCCATTCCCATTTTTATTTATTTTTGCTTATTTTGAAAAAAAAGAGCGATTCCTATCTCACGATTTTTGGATTTCTTGGCTGTACTGACTGATAGTACGAAATTTATTTTTATTTTTAAGTGAGTTACACACTACTCTATTATTTCCACAAAACCAATATATTTATCCATATGAATCTAAGATCCAAGATCTTCGAGGAAGTCTCAATTTCTTATTTCTCCGCTTTTGAGGTGAGAAGTTTCAAAAATATTTTTTAATATTTTTTTTCGAAATAATTGGTAATAAATGTTTTTTTCTCTTTACGAGCAATTTTTTGCAAAATTTAAATAAATCAATTTTGTTTTTACCATAGTATTCTATAAAATCTCACAATTGCCATAATTTCTATAAGTAATAGCATTCGACATTCGTGTATATGCAGTGTCTGTTTATTTTTGTATTTTATTATTAGTGAAGAAACCAAAATTAAAACTTATTTTCACCCATTTGGATTTCATCATGCGTATTTGTGGTATAGCTACTGAGATTATTTAAAAAAAGTCGTTGGTGTGGTTGCAAATGTAAATTATGAGAAATGGTGCATACAATGAAAATAAAGGGGAAATGTTAGCTCGTTTCTTGTCGAAATTAATATTGCTTGGTAACCTTGGCTAATAGATCACTCCTCAACTCCTCATAGTGCTTTTGATTTGGTATTTTGTGACAGAAAATTTCGTTCCGTTGTGTCCTTCGTTTCAACAGCTAATTTTATAAGGTGGATAATAGAATCAAAAATAAATCTGTTTGCAAAGAAGGCATTTCAGTCACAGTCAGTTTTAAATCGTTTTTTTCTTCAAGCACGAACCCTTCCTGGTTGCTATGGAGATGCGATTTCCCTGAGACCAAGATAGAATTAGAATTGTGTTTTTTTCGCTGATTTGCTCCCACCAAATTACCAAGGGGCTTACCAAGACCATGTTGCTGGACCGTTCCCGAAGTATCATTCCATCCTGATTAATTTTATACGAATAATATAATGGAGTGCAAAAAAGTGGGTGATCAAATCAAATTGCTGGATGACGCGATCGATATTTAACCGACGAGAATAGAGGTTTGAATAACACTAGCTACAAGTCGAATTGATCGTCGATACTTGTTTATTTTTTCATGGTTTCGTGGCTTCGGTAGTGGTGCTTTACGGGGTGATATGCTTCGTTCGTTCAGAGCTTCTACGATTGGCGGTTCGAGGGAAACGCGAATGGTACAGATTTTTATTAAGCTCAGACATTTCGAATCGTTACAAAGTAGTCATTCGGACCATTCACTTTCTGTTTCGTTATCTTCGCTTTCTAAATATCATTTACATCAATGTATTTATAAAAAATCGTCAGTGTTCAATGAAATCATGCAAATAAAACCTTCTGAATCTTCTTTCACTTTTCTTCGTTGTTGATCAATCGTTTTGCTGATGACTTTGGGCAGATTGCTTCGCTCAGGTTCGAGCTGCGGCGACGAAATTTGCGTTTTTTTCAAAAGCATTTTATCGACTTGTCGGATCTCCTGAAATTCAGAAAGAAGCATTTTTGAGGCGGTGTGGCATCGCCAATGCTATTGGAAAAAAATTCGTTTATGCCACTTACCTGGAGCAAAGTTTGCCGATTTAGATTATAAGTTTCGCTAAGTGGTTCAGATTTGAATGGTTCTTGTAACCAGTTTTGATCTGCTGAATCAATCTGTGATAAAGCTTCGGGTGAAATGGTGGACTGTGGTACTGGTGGTTGTGGCTGAGATATGGTTAATAGCGAAGGTGAGGGTGATGAAGAGACCATAATTGAAAGAATCGACAACGACTCTCTAGAATGCAGAATTTCTTGCGAAGGTTTGTTCGATAGATTATTTTCCGAGTAAATTGGTGGTTGCCTTACCATGTCCACTTCATTATTGAGAAAATTTACTTCCATAGTTGGTCTCATATTAATTGCTTGGTTGTTGCGAGAATTTTTTTCGTTTAAATGAAGTCCGTTGTTCTGAAAGAATTCGTACATTAGTTGTAGCTCTTCGTAACGGCTTCAGAATAGTAGCAATTATGGAGATTACTGCGATTCTGTTTATAAAAAGATATATCTATATACTGCGATGACTAAATAAATCGTTTAGATAATGATGAAGACGAAATTGTTCTTCAGATTAAAGCTGTAGATATGTATTGGGAATCATTGGATTGGAGTATGGAATCGATTCCAGAATTTATCAAATTACCAATTTTCGCAGATTATTTAGTCGCCTCATTGATTTGCATATTTTGTCTGGTCCATGCATTGTCACCTGACGACGTATCATATCAATTTCAGTTTTATCGGCTTTCGACATATCAATATTCAAATATTCGCAGATTTCCCGCACAATTTTGTTAATTTCAGGATCATTTGCGATATTAAAACTATCGTCTTTACTCAAATGCGCTTGATGTCTGAATTATTAGCATGAATAGATTATGAGTAAAAAGAAAAAGAAAACCGATACTTTTAGATTATCTTTGTAAAGATTTGGAATCCCTCAATCTGGAATTTTTTTTTTCATGTATTATTAACTTAAGAAACAAACGATTTTTCTCAATATAAAAAAATTGACTAAAGATTTCATTTTAAAAAATTTTATATAATTTAGAAGCAAACATGAAATTAGTTGGAAGACTAATTTTAAGCGTCGCTTTCTCTTCTTTTTGTTTTCTTCGTTTTTTTCGCTTTTCATCGAAAATTTTCTTTGTAGGAAGTAAAAGCACAGACTGCTTCAACGAATTCAATGCATTATCCATTATGCATGAAATTGGCGGAAATAATTCTAAAATATCCATTAAATATCCACTAAAATATAAAGCATTATTATGACTGAAAACTCAAAATTCCCGTTTTATCTGTCATACTTTTTTCACTGTGTTCGCTCAATATAATGGGAGAATCTCCGATTATGGAATTGTTTTTCGAAGATTCCGGTAAATCACGTTCATCGCTAAGTTTCGATCGAGGCTTATCGAAATGCATTAATTTTTTCACAGATTGACTACTCCATGTGTCCTGAAAAAAATTATAATATTCTTTGCTTCCAATAATATCTGTAAATTTTTATAAATAACTAATAAAAAGAATTTACCTGTTGATATTTTTTGCTATTGAAAAAATTCGATTCCTCTCCATCATCCACATTTTGTCTTCGAGCTAAAGTAAAAATAACGAAATTTTTTCTGAAACTGAAATTCAAATGTTTGAATAGCTCTTCATTAGCAGCTAGTTTTTAATTATCAAAAGACTTTCTTTACCGTGAAACGCTAATTTTGTTTTACCTTTTTGAAAGTAAACCGCTTCATAAAAGAATCTATTTGCCTCTCTTTCGACTGAAAAATTTAGTCCATAAATTATGTTTGTACTTAGCTTGAATGTAATAAGATGACTGTGTTCCTTTATTAGATTTGTATCTGGCTGTCTGAAAATCAAAAAATTAATGATCTTATCAGAAGCAATGAAATGAATCTGGTGATAAATGGTGAATGGTTTGTGACTGACTGGGGTGACACATTGTGGATTCTATTCCTGTCTTTTGGAAAAAGCATGTCGGTGAAAGTGAAATCCCGTTGGCTTTAGAATTCAGCTGTCCTTCTTTATAAAGACAAACGAGAAATGGTGAGAAATGGCTGCGAGAAAGTGAAGAATGAATTTTTAAAAAATGATTTTGCATGGAAAAAACGACAATAAAAGAATTACAGAATTAAGCGCCATTTTTCTTCAGCTCGAGGTTTAGAATAGCCTGGGTCAATTAATCGAAGTGTAATTTCCTCTGTTAGATGATCTTTCACGTAACATATGGCTCCTGTCCACAATTTTTTCCATTCACAAATATCTTTATCTCCTTTAAGAATTTCAGCTATACCCATCACAAGACTCTAAATAAATAACATCGATGAAGTCAAAAATTTAGAATTATCAATAATATTTAAACTTGAATAATTAATGGTTGAAAAGTTTATTCCGCTTTAAAATAAGGATCTTTTCCTGCCTCAGTACGACGTACAATATTCCATTTCCGCACCAATGACTACCTTCGACTCGGGAATGATTTTTAAATCCCAAAAATTATATCTTCACACATCTATACTTATTTTAATATTGAAATTAAATGATAAAAGTCGTAATAAATTTGTAATAACAAGGAGGGTTTAAAAAATAACACGGAGGTTTGAACTAAAGAATAATTTTCAATAAAAATTTAAAAATTTACTGAACAGTATTCTCCAAGCTCGGAGAATATTTTTTGGTTCTCTTCTTTTGTTAGCAGAGTTGAACCGACATTATTTCTGAAAAATTGTTGCATTAATCCAAATTTTCATTTTAATTATTTAAATTCCAATTCACTGATCGCTGTAGCAACTAATCTGACATCGAAGATTTCTGAACACCACTGAACACTAATGCTTTTATTAAAAATGGCGAATTTATACGGGTTAAAGATTAGAACAAGACGCAGCAACAGCAATTAAAACTTGCTTGTATTCGTTATGAAAAATTACCTGGTATTTGACGGATTGGAACTACTTGTCTGTCGAAATAAAGTTTGCATTATCCTCTCGTCTAATATACTTGTACCATATTCAATATGGAATGGAACTATATTAGCTGATGCTCCTTAAATTTGCACTGAGAATTTAGTTTCTTATAAACAAGTGGTCAACATACACCAATTCTGGTTAGACTTGCTCCACTGGTCATCGTTCTAGAAATTTCTGTTTGGAAGTGGCGATGGATCGGTGGATCGTTGCCATCACCACTCGAATTAATGATAGATTTAATAGATTAAATAATAGAATAATAGAATAGATTTAATAATAGAATAAAAGGATATTTTTAGGAAGTTTGCGTCAAAAGCTGGACTCTTGTCTCTAAAAAAAATGGGTATAATCAATACCCATCCGTCTATTCGCCACCCTACTCCCTCCTCCTCATAATTTTTTATAGGAAACAAAGGACATTTCCTTCTATAAAGCTGGTCCTTTTACCTTTTGCTTAGTCAAATATATCTAAACAATCAAAATGTTTATTTCAACTAGAACAGAATAAAAAAATCAAGTATGTTGAATTGTTTTAAGTCAAAAATCTTGTCAAATGAAAGGAAATATCGTGGAATTTAAAAGCTCATAATATGGTGTTTTTTTAAAAAATATTTTTAATAGTAAATATATAGTTAGTTAGTTGAGAGGAGCAATTTCATATTAAGAAGAATAATTGCTGTTCCTTTCTCCTTGTGCCTTTAGTACTAATTGGACTGCCTCGGATGACGCGAACTTCTTTCACTTGCGGAGACAATGTCGCAGAAACATTTCTTTCTTTCAAATACAATTTCATTTCATTTTATTTCATAAAATTTGAATAAAAATTGTTTATGATAGAGATTAAAATACAGTTGATAAAGTCGAATTCATTAATCATTGATGTTTTTTTTTCAACAAATAAATTTCACAAATAAATTTCATTATATTTAAAACTTGTACAAATAGAATGATTATCATTGCAAATGATAAGTGATAATTGCAAAAAAATTCCAGAAGGAGGATTAAAAATGAAATTTTTCTAGTCACTTTCAGTTGCCGCAAGAGATCATCATGTTTTCTCAATTATTTAATAAAATCTTAAGGAAAAATAGAAGCCATTTCAAGAAGAACAACAAGCCGACTTGCACAACTTTCCACTGAAAATGAATGGCGGTTCAAAAAAGGTAGAGTTTGCAAATAAGAGGAAGTTCGCCGCAGTGAAAAATAAATATTTTCAAGTAAAAATAATATGTGCCTCAAGCAAATCACCATGAGCAAATCACCATCAAATCACTGTGATGCCATATCTCTTAGTGAGCAGTTTTCTGAGGAGTGGAGGAAGGGATGGGGAGGAAATATGAAAGGGATTAAACAAGAACTCGAGGGATTAAAAATATTTCTTAAAATATCTTGTAAATTTTCGTTTTTATAGAGATATTATAAATGAACAACCTTCGCAGACTATATAGATTTGCCGTTTAGCTAAGTTAACTAACTGTATCTCTTCAGATTAGAATAATTGTATAGAATGTGTAGATTTTATAGCATTTGCGCCACAAAAATTTTTGATTAAACTCTTAAATGTAAGTAACACTGGTAATCTAAACAAACTACAAATTCTCTTCCTTTTTTTGTTCTCCCTTAAATTTTTTCCAATCGAAAACCAAAATTAAGATAATCTTTGATTGAACCGATCATTGCAACTATTGCAACTATTTGAATGCACGAAATAATATCTCTTAATCGATCCATCAAAATTTTTTCCCATTCTTTGCATATTTCTCGAAATTCCACAGCTATAATGGTTGTTCCACGAACAAACTATTTGAGAAGAATAATACATAATAATTTTCCCTCATAAGCAGAAAAATACGATCGAATATATCTGCTAATAACAAGAAATAATTTAAATGATCTTCTGAAACGTAGGATTTTTTCAGAGCAAATTTAAAAATATGGATTAAGATATTTTAATTAAGAGACAAAATTAGATTTATGTGCATGATAATAATTATAATATATTTCGCCACTTTATTTTTGTAATGATAAATGGAATTTCAAAATATTATACTACAAATTATTGTTTTTAGATTCTTAAAACATACTTATAGAAAGCCTACAAAACTCATAGCTAAACTATGTTTTGCGGCTGAGCTATTATGCTAAAGAAGATACAGTATATCAAAACTTACTGGCCTATAGAAAATGTTAGCACGTTCGTATATTCTAAACCTAAAGGGACAGAATGGCTCAGTAGGTTGTTACTTAGTTTGTAACAATCGAAGCTGCGCTCCGATTTCCCGCAGCAGCAAACCTGTACAAAAATCCAGGTGATGCTGGCGACTCACCCGTACTTCTATCGCCAAGGCATCGCCAAGACTCCATGGCATACTGCTCAGCGCGACAAGCCAGTGGAGCGAGCTTAACCAGTAATGGTGAGGACTCTTAAGAACAAGAAGAATCTTCTAAGTAAATCCAGCTACAAAATTCACAAACTCTTCTTTTTCTAATAGCTCGTACTATTACTGGCTTAGCGGATTGAAGGGTTTTTCCAAATCGCTTTTTTAAGTCAAAATTAGGAACAACATCAAAAGACAACTTGTAATAATCGTCCTTTCTAAAAAAAAGTTGATTACGATTGACTTTGGCTAAAAAGTTAATCTTAGCTGGCCTTTTTTATATTTCTTATTTCTGTCTGAGTTGATTTTTGAAATTTTTTGTTCGATTATCGCCGATATTGTATCGGTATTATTGATATTATACGAAAATGTTTGTATATTATTTTAAGAAAACGAAAGTGATTAATGCTCATCACTTCTAATTAGCCAATTTGTTGGAAATTTTTACCGAGGAGTCATTCGGTGAAAGTGCAGGTGAGTTGCCGACGCCATTCGAATTTTTAAATAATAAGTACTCTTGCTCGGAGAATAGGACCTATCGGCCTACCGTTTATTCGAAAAAATTAACATGCTAAAAAATAATCAACGCTCATCTATTTTCTAAATCCGATTAAAATCTGTAATGCAGAAGCAGCCTCACCATTTGACCATCCTTATTCTTGCTATCCTGAACCTTATTTTTATTTTGGCAAATTTGAAGCCCAGAATTTGTTCAGATGGCAAATTATCTTATGATTAAATAAGTTAAAATATATAATATTTAAAACTGACTGCTATATTATTGACTAGTTAATAGACTAATAATTAAAATTTTTCTATTGATCTGACGGTACTCACTCCTATTTACTTTAATGATCACCAATCGTTATTTTGCTGCCGAAGAATTTCGTTTTCATTATTGTCATTGAATCATTTCTCTGCTACTTTAGTCGCGTAAATTGTTTTACTTATTCGCTAATGTCTTTTGATTTTTACCGATGGTAAAACCATGGAAATAGAACCAACATTACTACTGACACTAAAATCGAAATGGTTTGCTAGATATATTCCTAGGGATAAATTTTCAGATGGTGCGCTATCAACAATAGCATTAGCGTTTATCATCAAAAAGTCTAAGTCTGCACATCTTATTTTTCATTAGTAAAAGTCTAAGATACTTTCCAAAAATGAGGAATTTGTGGAATTTATGCATTCATATGGCTGTGAATGCAGTATATTTGGATGAATTTTTGCCTGAACAGTGTTCATATTCAACTTTCCACATAATTTATCAAAACTACAACTAGTGTCGTACATTCCTTCTAATTTCAATCATTTTTGAACTCAATAATTCGTATCAATATCCTCATTCATCGACTGTATTCATCATTTTAATGGATAAAACCACATTCTCTTATGATTTGCAGCCCAGAAATTTTCCACAATCTTCAGAAATAAGCCGATTTTTATTTGCAGAAGGCCAGGATTGCTCAAATATTCAAATTCAGTATTAAAAGTTGGGGTTTTGTTGGCGATTCAAGTATGCTTGTATCCTTAAGTGATTATTCATCGTACCAAGATTTAGCAGTACTAACAAAGCGCCAACCACTTAAACTAGTTTTCATAAATTTACAAGGCACAAAAATAAAAAAAAGATATAATTAATAATGCATAATCAAAAATTGATATCAATCAAATTTCAAAAAATGGTGGTAGATACATTCTATATTCTATTTAATATATTCTTTCACGGAAAAAACTAGACAATAATAATATTATTATAATAATATTGCAGCACACATATTTTCTTTCTGTGACCATTACTAGGACTACTAGGATGAGACCATTTTGCCGAAAGTTACTTGTGGGAAAGAACGTCAGGTGAGCGCCCAATACTGTCCGGGCTTAACCTTTAATGGCAATGCGATCTTGCTGCAATCAAAAAATCATGTTATACACTTATGTCATGTTAATTTATGGTCGAAACCACCTAATACTTAGTTATCCTTCCCCAACCATATATATATACATTTTTATCATTAGATATACTTCAAGTTTTATAAAATAATTCCAAGAAACAGACGCTATTAATAAAGGATTCTACTTGTTTTAATGTACAAACTAAATAAAACTATAAGCAAATAAGCAATGAGTGCAGCATCACATATCGAACTGGAGAAAACTACAAGAAAATTGATAAAAAACGCGTTATAAGATAGTAAAATTTTTTAAAATTTTAAATCCAAGTTTGTCATTTGCCACAATAAAGTTGACAAGGGCAGTAAAAAATATGAAAAAGGAAACAACTGAGCGGATGAAATAAAGAGGTAAATAAAAAGTGGAAGAAAATTTTAATTTCGATTAAAATTTTTCGTTAACGAAAAAAAAAGAATGAGAGGAAAATTTCTTTGAAACATTTTACTGTTTCAATAAAGAAATGATTTAAAGATAGTCAAAGTGATTAACTAAAGACGACTGATCCAAGACGATTCCTATCAATCGATGGTTGTAAATCTGCCATTAAAAATCTAATCCGTGTGGTCTTTTTGTCTATCTGTACCACTGTCTTAGACTAACTTGCGTCCAAAATTCGACTTTTCATCATAATCCATGATACTGATTAATTTTTTTAAATTCAATACCTTTTAAAAGTA